TTAAATATGGACATTTGCGAATTTTGTATAGGACATTTGCGCTTTTACAATATTTTCTGTATGGATAAAAGTTAAACAGTAATTCCATTGCAAATTCGTGTTTAAAAGTCATGTCATAGCACATTGATATATAGAGATTAATACATGACCTTTTCCATATCGGCACGGGTATCATCCCGAGACCCCCATGTCAGCCCGAGACGTAGTCGAGGTGCTGATATGGGTCGAGGGATGATACCCGGGCCGATATGGAAAAGGTCTTGTATTAATCTCTTTATCATATACTTCCGAAAATAGAGAAGATTAACACAGGAAGCTGATATGGATTTTCTGCCAGGGCCGATACGGCCATATCAGCCCGGATAGTGACGTCATTGGGCTGATACGGGGTTATCAGACCGGGTGTGCAAATACGACTTGTTTTCTTCCGGTCGTTACACATATGCAATAAGCACTGTATTAGGCATGAAGTATATGATAAAGTTATATATACCTAAAAGTAAACATTATAAAGTTTAGTTATCACAGGTAAGTTTTTGCTTTATACCTGAAGCCCATATTTAAGTCTCTATATCTTATAATTCTTGACTGAGATGCCTGTTCATCAATATAACGAATTTTAATGTAATTAAGCGACTGTTGTTCAATGATAAAAATCCATAGTGGCATATGCATTTTGTCCTCTTTACTTTCTCTTTAACTTTAAACTCTATATTTAAGACTGTGTCAATGTGAACTAACTAACGACAAATATAAGTTGAATTTATTTACGTAACTCATTAAAATTACAGATAGACGGCTATAGATAAAAAGAGCAAATGTCCGGTCAATTTACTACAGGTGTATCAAAATTTAAAGCGCAAATGTCCATATTGTTTGTAGAGCATCGTGTTACAGGTAAAAAAGCGCAAACGTCCTGTGCCCCTTGTAATCATTTCAGTTTTCACATCTCAGCTGACACTCTTTTATTTACAACGAAAGATTATAAAAAAAACCTGTGGTTGGTGTAGAGGTAAATTCAAGCTAATGCCACATTCAAGATGTTTTTTCTAACGGTTCCTTAAAAAGGAGGGTCTGGATGGGGGTTTACAGAATAGAGAATATTGGGTAAAAAGTGCCGAATAAAGGCAAAACAAATTTAATGAATACAGAAAATTCGGAAAAAAAATAACGAATAGAGAATGATAGAGTGCTAATATATAAAGAATAAAGAAAATGACTGAAAAAAATAATAGAATACAGTGTTGGAGGACCCCCATCCAGACCCTCATAAAACTGACACAAATTTCTTACATCTATTTCATTTTCACACCTAACAGTTTCTGGGTATATACACATGGTGGTAGGCGTACGCCTGCAAAGATTAAGTAGGTCTGAAAATATTAATCTGGTAATTGAGATTAAATACAAATAAAAATATGAAGATGTTAAAAATATTTACACCTTTTTCAATTATAATGTTCTATATATTTGCTAGATAAAAAGAAGACAAAATTTAAACTTTGATGTCATATTTGGTTTTATTGAAAAATCCTTAGTTGATGCCGTGTAACAAATGAAAGGGGACACATACTTTCATCCTTATATCACTTAGGGAATACAAGTACATGTGCTTGCGTTGTTGTAGTAATAATAATAAGATTTATACTCTGGATTCATAGCAAACTTAAAATCCCTGTGATGATAAAATGCTTTCTTTCAAATTGTTTCTCATCAAATAATTCAAAGCCTATATGACACTAATCATCATAAAATTTCAAATTATTTTCCAAGGGCTTTTTCCTTACGTGTACAATTGGATAATATTTTCTAAGATATTTGTGACTTTCATCCTAATAATATCAAATATGTGTGACTTTTCCCGCATCATACATGTATATCATATATGGACACATTTTTTCCCGTTAATTCTCTGAATATACTGATCAGTATTTTAAAAGAAATATTTCTACTCTGCTACACGTTTTTGCATTAAAAACTCGCATTATTATTTGGTTGAGAAATATCGGGTTGTTATAATTTACTATTTCTATAGAATTTGTAAAGATTTAAAAAAAATATTAGAAGATGTACCTTAAATACTGTATTTTGAGTTCAATATATATCTTGACTTGTCAATTCAATTCAATACTTTATTTACACTCAGACACAAACTATGTGTTACATCAGGATAATACAATAAATGACAAATAGACAGGAAAATAGTAACAAAATTATACTATTAAAAGATCATAGAACTTATATATAATGTACACGTATCTTACTATATGAGAGTAGAAAGTTTCTTGATAAATATAGATAAATTATGCAATAGCTGACAATGACATAAGGACAGCATCTTTTGCATTTTCAGAACAGATGGGTATGTTGTATAATAATTCGGTATATTTTTTCCCGAAGTTCAATGATAGAAGTATTATTACATGCATATAAATAATGATATTCATCACCAACACATTCATTACATAATGGACATATACGATCGGTTCTAGCGAGGTTGTACCATCTGCCAGTTTCCAAATGAATTTTGAGATTGCATGTTCTCAGTTTCGAAATCCAGATTCTTTTATCCTCTGGAAGACGAAGTAAATAATTTTCAAGACCGAGCTGAGCTTTAAATAACTAATAATATTCGTCACGAGACGAATTATCAATATTACTAAACCACTTTTGAAGAAACTGATCCTGAAGAATCTGTTTTATTACAGGTTTTATAGTTAAATAATCAATGTATTGGTTGAAAAACATATAACCTAATCCTGAGTTGTCAAATATAGATTTCACAAATGACACCCATTTAAATTTACAAATATCATCGCTATGTAATTTAAAAATAAGCTTATACATAGAGTTACTAACTTTGTTTTCATTTTTAGCCATTCTACTCCAAAACGACCATACTCTTAATTTTACTTTTATTTCTAATGGAAACCTTCCTAGTTCTCCATATACCATACAATTTTTCTGATCCATACAATAAAATAGAATCTACAAGATTATAAAACAATTTTAGTTGTAAATCAATGGGTAAATGTAAATTTCTAATCTTTGTATATGCAGCAAAAAGTGCTTTTTGCGATTGTTCCACAAGTTTTTTCTTTACATAAACAAATGACCCATTATAATTTAGCAAAAGACCAAGGTATATGTATATATATATAGCTATCTAAAATTTCAAGAGATGTACCATTAAGTTTAAAATCAAAATCCATTCTTGCTTTACTTTTTAAAAATCATCACTTTAGTTTTACCAATATTCACACTAAGTTTCCACATAGTACAATAATTTTCAAAAACTTTGAGAGCTTTTTGCATTTCATCATAATCATCAGCAAAAATTATAGTGTCAACTGTATACAAAAATTTCCAAAAATACATGTAATTTATTATAACATCATTATAACATTTTTCTTTAATTAATTCTAGAGGCAAGACATTAAGATCTCTGAAGTAGTCTTCTAAGTCATTTAAGAATATGGAAAACAAAAAAAGGGGAAAGATTTTCACCCTGACGAACTCTAATCATACACGGGAAAAAATCTGATCTCGTATTATTGTATTGAACACACGATGAAAACCGCTATAAATAGAGAATGTAATTGGCTTTGAACTAGCTTTCAGTAACTGCGAGTACTCTTATAAATATCTATGCGTTGTATCTATTGTTTTTGTGTTTAGTTGGGGTTTTTTTTTTGCTGTTGCTTCGTACCGATCTATTGAGTTTAGTCATTTGCAACTGATTTTTAGTTTGTTCTAATGTTTTTCTTTTACACTTATGTCCAAGGTTATTAAAACAAACATTTTTAACCCTGACACTTTCTATTTGTGCCTGTCCAAAGTCAGGAGCCTGTTATTCAGAAGTTGTCGTTGGTTCATGTATGTCATGTTTGTTTTTCGAAAATTGTTTTATTATAAACTAGGCCGTTAGTTTTCTCGTTTGAATTGTTTCACATTTTGTCATGTTGGGGCCATATGGCTATACGGTATGGGTTTCGCTCATTGTTGAAGGTCGTACCGTTACAACAGTAAACTATAATTTCTTACATTCACGTCATTTGATAGTTATCTCATTGGCAATCATACCCGTGACATGTTCTTATTTTCATATAACATGTATAAACAAAACTTTTTCTGATTAGACTGAACTATAAATGTACCATAGTCATTGCCCCCCGATGGACATTAATTGGAATAAAAAAAATTTATATTGTATTGTATCGTATTGTATTATAGCGGTATTGTATTGTATTACTAGTCTATCGTATTATATAATCTTATTGCATTGCATTATATTGTTTGCATTGCATTAGAGAGCTACCATTTGATTTTTATGGGGTGGGGCTAGGATGAAAAATTTTGTCCTGTATTTTTTTTTTAATTGTAATCTCTGTCCTGCCTTTTTTTTTATTAGTTTATCCTGACTTTTTTTACATAAATTGTCATCCTGTCTTTTTTTGCCATGTTGATCATCCTGCCTTTTTTTTTACTCAAAACTCCTGTCCTGCCTTTTTTTCAAATTTCATCCTAGCCCACCCCCAATAAAAATCAAATGGTAGCTCCCTTATTGCATTGCATTGCGTTGCGTTGCGTTGCGTTGCATTGCATTGCATTTATTTGTTTTGTTTTGTTTTGTTTAACAAATATTTGAGGTTGAATCAAAATATCGTGTTCCTCTCTGAACGTCATACTCTCCATTTCACTATTGGATTGCATTGCTCAGTTTGCATAATAGTCCCAGATAATGATTGAATTGCTTTGCATAATGATTGCATTGCTTTGTAATGTATCGTTTTGCATTGCACTGTATTGCAACGGTTTTTTTCCCCAATTCAATTCAATTTATTGTATTTATATTTTTCATTGCATTGCACTGCACTGCATTTATGATCACAATTTAAAGCAAAGTATAAAGTATCCTTGTATCAAGATGTTAGTTCTTTCGAAATACGGAAATTAACATGGACGTTGTTTTGGACTTTAAAATATATCAAGTCATTCGGAACTCCTAGTGCACAAAAAGTTCGAATGGAATGTAAACAATAACATGCTGAAAACTACTTCCCATAAAAAATGCAGTTTTATTCGGAAGAAACAAACTCTCATATTTATTGCCTTATTCCTAAATGTGATTCTTTTCATCTATTTTGCATTCATTCAAAGCGCTTTGCCAACAGACGACAAAAACGGACTAAAATATCCCGAAAAAATCGGTAAAAAGTTTATCATCGAAGAAATAACGATAATAATTAGGGAATTTGAAGATTTTGAGAATAGCTTAGAGGATGACATCAAACATTATCATCAGATATTTGGACAAAAGATTGACATTTTAATTATTGTGGACAAAAAACCATATCCACCCTTAAAACTAAACCTAACTGAAAATGTAAAGTTAATGAGTTTAGCTTTCGATTTGAACATTCCATCAGGTTCAGAAAACATTATTGCATACATTAGAACCAATACTGTGCTGTTTGTTTCCGATGGTTGTAGGATAGCAAGCTTGTCCAATTTTAAGCTTGTGCTTCAAAAATTCACTTTTCAAAATCGAGTGAGGGCATATGCAATACAAACTGGGAGTGCAAAGTTGAGTTGCCCAGGCATTCAAATTGATATGAAAAGGTGGACTGTTAAGATTGAAGATTTCAAATGGATTGAAGGACTGTGTGATTTTATTGATGGCGATCAAGCAATACTTATGAAAACAGATGATTTAAAAAAATTAGCCAGTCCATTCACAAGACCAGTACAAAAATCATTGTATTTTCAATTTGCTTTAAAGAAATGGAAAAGTTTAGTATATGACAAGCAAGTTTTTTTACCACGACAGGGCTTGCAAGATTCAATGAGTCAATATCAGCATAAACATTTAGAAAAATCAAGACTTGAAACGACATATAAAAAGTTTGGAATGCATGAGATAATATATAATCGCAATAAACATAATTATATTGGATGTACAAGAGATACTGAAAGATGTTTCGGATCAGTTGTAAATGATGTTCCTGATTATATTTACCTAAATAAATGGACTCCACCATGTTGTTTAAAAGCCATTCGAGAAACTGCCTTACATGTCTTTCAGACACTAGAAAAAAACTCAGTCAGATATTGGTTAGAAGGAGGAAGTCTGTTGGGAGCAGCTAGAAATGGAGATATTATTCCATGGGACTATGATGTTGATATTGGCATCTACCAAAATGATATTCCCAAATGTAAAGAAATACTGAAAGCAAAAGAACAGCAGTATGTTGATGATGGAGGTTTCTTATGGGAAAAGGGAATCGAAGGAGATTTTTTTCGTGTGCATTATAGTGATATTAACAGGAATCATGTTGACATTTTCCCATTCTACTCAAAGAAGGGAATAATGACTAAAAATACTTGGTTTAAAACCCACCCTCAAGATACTGAGTTTCCTGAACATTATCTCAAACCTTTAATAACAATTCCTTTTATTGGCAGGAACGTTTCTGCTCCAAATCATATTAAAGATTTTCTAGAGTTAAAGTTTGGAAAAGGTGTCATAGAAAATCCAAAATATCCAAACTCAAAACCAGTATATTGATGTATTGTTTATCTACTCATTCAAGACAATGCTCAGTTTGTAATCGAGATTTTTTTTAATTTAAATGTGAGAAACATAAACTATGCATTGTACATGTTGTACAATACGTATGAAACTTAATATACATGTATATTTTAATTTATAGCCACAAAACGACAATACTGTCAATACCATAACACATAGTACATGTACACACATTATTAAAGACAAGTCAAAGACAAAATATGCTTAGTCTCTCTTAAATTTATTCTCAACTTTTTCGACTCCTGCAATTTATAGCCTGGCATATTGCTGTATAGTATACTCATAGAGTAGGCATTTGTCTGTTGTTGAAAACTACAAGTGGCAGATTCCATAAAGAAAAGAAAATTTCCGTCAAAAAGAACAAATTAATAAAAATAATACTAACTGTTATTTGAATGATAATATGTGAATGTTTTATTGAATAGTAATGTTAAATAAAGCAAGAAAACCAATTATTGGATATGATTGTTTCCATTAAAAGTAGAAATGATCAAAACAAGTTGAAAAATGTGAAATGTTTGACGGAAATTACTTCCCATTTTTTGACACAAGGTTTATGTGTTACAATGCTTTAAATTGACACTGGTATAATGGTTTTTATTAGTGTAGTCTGATTATTCAAACATCCCTGTTTCCAAATCTTTTGCTTTTCTTTTGTTAAAAACATCTGTGATATATATTTTTTTCAATTTCAAATACCTTGCTTATTAGATGCTCGTCTGTCAATAAATGTTATGATAGCAACATGTTCATAAAATCTTGCCACATCATTGTAGGTACTTATATAAGCCTGTTAGAATTGTATTTCATAATGTACATTAAACAGACACATTTTGGATCTTTCAATTTACTGTATTCAATCAATAGTTTTATCAAATCTGTTGCTAACATAAGTTCTGTCAAACTTGTCATCTTATGTTAGCAACATTTGGATGTGCTACAAATTAGAGTTATCTGTCCTGGGTTGAAATCGTGTTAAATGTCAGGCGGCGTTATTTTGCAGGAGTTCTAAATATGACTTTCAACTAGGATAAGATCTCCAATGTTAGTTAAAAATCTCAAATATATATTGTCTGTCAAATTTATTTATGTTAGCACAATCTTATGTTAGCAACAAGTCCGTCAATATCTTATGTTAGCAACATATTTAGTCTGTCAAATCTTATGTTAGCAACAATAATGTCCGTCAAATCTTATGTTAGCAACAAAAAAGTCCGTCAAATATTATGTTAGCAACAAAAAAGTCCGTCAAATATTATGTTAGCAACAAAAAAGTCCGTCAAATATTATGTTAGCAACAAAAAAGTCCGTCAAATTTTATGTTAGCAACAACTTCATTTCTGTCAAATCTTATGTTAGCAGCATTGTTCATGTCTGTCAAATCTTATGTTAGCAACTCCAAGATAATCCTTTTTTAAAGTTGTTACAATTCCTTTTTTATTGGTGCAGATGTTAAGAAATATTTTATTCCAATTTGCCTTTCATATTTAAGCAAGATATACATCCAAACCTTGAAAATACTGAAGATATCAGGATTGTTTGTGTTGCTCACATAAGAATTTTCCGTCAAAATGTCTGTCAATTTTGTTATGATAGCAACATTTTTTTAAGGTGTCCTTTATTTAAAAAATATAAAGTGAATAGATCTATTTTTTGTCAAAAAGTGTTTACTTATATAAGTATAACATGTATTCCAAAACAGAACCTTATTGGTGTTGATTTTGTTAAACATAATTTTGGGAATTTTTCAACTTTCTTATTTGGAATCTGCCAAGTAGGGTGAACTTTAGATGTTTTTTTTATCATTTGTGTCTTTAAGCCTGCATTTCATTCATGTAAAATGTATGCCCCTCATCTCATTTTATTCATATTAAAATACTGCACTTCATGTATACATGTACATGTATATAATAGAAAAACAAAGAATATGGGGTATCCATCCATGACACAAAAATCAGTTCATGCACAGCAAAAAAAACACACAAAAATCAAAGGAACAGCCCTTTTATCGCTGTTCTTCATCTCAGTCACAGTGAGGCCTTCAACACGGAGCAAATAAAACTCACCTCACTGCAAGTTTAAGACGACCCCTAGCACCGGCTTCAGCAGGATTTTTTGCAAAAATAATTTGGATAGACTTTGTAAGATGTAACACCACCTAATTGGGCCTAGTAAAAAAAAAACACACTAGAAAGTAGTACATATTTAAAACAAAATTGTTCCTACGCATAAGGGTAAATCAAACTATGTAGCATATATTTTAGTAATTGAGGTATCAGATGAAAGGTGAAGGACTAGTGTAGAACACACAATTTACTGATAATTTTGAATAATACAAAAATGTATGAGTGAATTCTAAAATTGAGGGCATATATAGCCTGTTTCTCAGATATAAAGTGCCTGGTTTGGTGTATCCAAATATATATGTATAGGCAATTAAGGGAACAGCTCAGTTTTTCCTACTTGATCAACTAGATATAAAATAAGAGTGGTATGATTGTCAACTAAAAAAACTATCCAAAAGAGTCCAAATGTAGCAGATTTAAGCAACTATAGGTACAGGTAACTAACTGCAGGGCTTTTAGAAATGAGCAGAACTCAGCTTTAAAAGGCCTGGAGATAACAAAATGTGAAACAGTTCAAAAGAAAAAACCAACAGCTAGGTTCATGATTTGACAGACATCAACCAATAACAACCACTAAATAACATGCTCATAACTTGGGACAAGCACATATAAAATATGGCAGGTTTAACATGTTGCAAGCACTCAGCTCTCTCCCAACTTGGGATAGCAGTGGAACAGCACAACATAAGAACAAAATGTAAAAATCAATTTGAAAGGCTTGACTCATCAGATCAGCACAAAGCACATAAAACAACTAACATAAACTGAAAAGACACAAAGTACTGATCTAAGAATACTCACAGTTACTGAAATCTAGTTCAAAGCCAATGATACCTAATAAATAAATCATGTTCTCCCAGACTAAAGTACATGTATCAATCAGTACACATCCAACAGATTTAGTGTTAAGACATTATAAACAAGTCTGAGAAAAGCATGACCTTGTACAGTGCCAAAAGCACAGAAAATCAGGAGGATGCATGACCATATGTTTTCATAAATGTATAGCAATTAGTCATGTTTTAAGTTATCTAAAAAAAAATCAGTTAGTACTGATAATACAATTTTCAAAGATCTTAATTTGGTGATAAATTGAATTCTTGTAAAATAAAACCTTTTTTAAAAGACCAATGAGTTTACGTGAATTGTATTTAAATTTACAGGCTTTATAAACAATATTACCATACATGTACCAATTTGGATGTGATGTGTTGTTTTCGATAGGAATTTTACAGGTACATGTACATCTACAGCCAAACTTCAAAAAAACAAATCTTTGTATCTGTGAACAAATTTAGTAAAAGTTTTACTGGTAAGTAACATATGTATAAACACTAAATAAGAAGATCAATGTATAAGTCAATAAGCATTCTTTCAAAGAAATATCTAAAGCATGAATATCTAGAAATCACTTTAGTTGTGACTATATCTTCATTATAGGTATTTAAATAAACTCTATATTGGCCAAGTGGACGTCAGTTTTCAAAAAAACAAGATCAGATTATGACCACAATGTAATTTGGAGGAAGAAACAGAAAAATTGCATACAGAGACAGCCATTGTTTAATTCCTGTGTTGAGAAAAGCACATCACCATTAACAAATATCCAACAATTAATAGAAATACGTCCCCGTACAGTAACTTGAATCTTGTGATAGCCTTGCTTGAATAAAGGACTGCAGTCACTATGTACCATGCTATACATTGAATTAAACTTATCTGTTAAATTCATCTTATTAATATTCACTTCAAAACTACATCCCATGAACTTGACCATGAAGATTAGGTTATAAATTTATCATATCAAAAAATACATGCCATGCTGGCATTAACATGTGAGTGAATAGTCTCATGTAGGTATTAAAAAATCTAACCAATGGCAAATACTGGAAAAGATTTTATTTTCATTCTGTCAGCAACCACTACAAGATTTAAACAAGTAAAAAAGTAACTTACAGGGACACCTTATACAAAATCTGATATAATGGTACAGTGTCTGTACATTCTACTTTTTTGGGGGGGAAGATGGGGGTCGGGGGGGGGGGGGGGGGGAAGAAACTGACATCTCCATTGATAAGTCCTGTTGACTTTATTCACAAGTTTTCTAGACTCAAGACTTACAGATTGACATTCTTTTAATACTTTTTTAAAGTTGAATATAAATAAAATGAAATGTGAGGTATAAATCAATCAGACAGCAACCAGTAAACACAAACAGCACAAAGACATCAAGAGTTAAACGTACAGTTTCTGAAAATGGAAGCTATCTTTTAATATTTCAAGATCTAATCATCCCAAGTCTAAAACAGTTGTGAAATAATTGAAAGAAAACTATCAAAAACAAACACCAAGTTCTTCAAATAACAAAAAAACTTTAAAATATGACATAATAAAACAACTTGAGATTCCTGCAGCCACTATGTTCATATCTAGACATCTTTTGGCTTTACTTGTGTTGTCTAGTTGATATCTCATCTGAGTAAGTCCACATCTTGTATTCCTCCGGTCTTATACACACCTTTGACTCCATAGACGTACATGAAAGTTGATGCATACTGAGTATGTAAACAGAAACATAAGGAGGTATGAGGTAAATGTACTGTGACAATAAACCAACAACTTATAGTTACCAAAATGTACATGTAAACATTTTTGTATGTGGATTTAAACCTCATTAATTTTTTAGGTTAATCAGAAATCAAGCCACCTTTGTTTCAAAGGCACAGAAATTTGTGGGCCCATGAACAAATGAAATATAACATTGTCAACAACAAATATTTTCATTTTTCACATTCAGACACTACACTACAAAATATACAAAGAAAACAGTTTGATAAATATCAAAACAATTTAATAAATTTATATTTGTTTCATAATATGAACAGTTTTGTAAATTTTATATACATTAGAGTAAAAAATGCATCAATTAAATAGTTATCACATTTGCTCACATTTTCAAAATTCAAGCAGTCATTCAAACATTTAAAACAAACAAAAAGTCAATAACAATCATTTATAACATGCTTTTCTTAAAAAAGTGAAATGTCATTTTCACTGGACGGGTGTCACTTTGGGTTCATTTCTTATCTATAAAGTCACGTTCACTGAATTTACTTTTTCACTGAATCTACTGGTGGTTCTCTCACCATAGACAACAGCTTTTCTAATTTGGCAATTTCATTTTCTTCTCTCTGTTTTGGATCTATTGGTGCTGCTCCTTTCTTTTCCTAAAATGCAAAAAAAATTAATATTAAACTGGAATACAAAATAAAGCAAAAGAACCTCTGTAAGGATGCTGCCATTGCTTTTCTCTCACTAGTATCATAGTTATTTTTTTTATTTGTAATATTTTTTTTTAAATAATTTCTAGACAAGTAAATCAACTAGATGCAGTTTTAATCATATCAAAATATATTTTATATCTAATATATTATATCAAAGTTTCAAACTGACATACCTTTGGCATTTTTCTCAAATTTGGTGACAATTTCAAGCTGGTTACATTTCCTCTGCAAAGTAAATACAACATTGATAAAAAAATATGTCACTGAATAACATGGTATATATATATATGATTTATATGAAAACATTTTCAAGTGAACTGAAATGTTTTCCCACCATAAAAAAAGAGATACTAGTACATAATTATTTATTAACTGTTAATATACTGTACTAATCAGATCTCTGAATAAAAATAATTTCTTACCACATTGGGTCTTCAATTATCTCCCTTACCTATCTTTTTTTTATACATATTATTTATTTCAACACTCAATTCAATGTTTCATTCATTAGCAAAAAGTGAGATTAACAAACCTATCATCTCCAACTATAACCATTGGATAAACTGGATTAAATTCTATATGGGTTAATTTGGTCTTCTTCTTCTGAGCTACCATCTGTTCACATAATGGTTCATATTTATTGATATGCAAGTCATATACAAACACCTGAAATAGAAAAAGCAAAACATATGACTTACTGTAATGAAAACCACATCTTTTAATTGTTTCTACTCAAAGCGTTTAAAATTTAATTATATCAACCTCTGAAAATAATATTTTTGTTTAATTTTCCAAAATGAAACTGCATGATTTATTTTAATATTTCTTATTGACAAAATCTGGAAAAATCATGTTTGCCCAAAGACCGATCCAAATTTACACTACACATACAGCAATTTGAGCATGCACAATGGAACCTTTGCCATTCTCAGTGTTATGACAATTTTTTCATTGGATTTTTAAAAATTTAATTACAAATTTAAAATAAGTAAGAGGAAATAGGATAATAAGTGTTCTTTAACAACATATCACACAATTTCTTAAATAACTTTTAGGCAAAGCAATAAAATTTTGAGGGTCGACATTGAAACATAGGATAGGGTCTGTCAGAAGGCAGGAAACAGATACATCTTTGCTTTGTCTTATATACATACTTTTCCATCAGCAGTAACAGCAGCAAAAACAGTTGAAGAGTATGGTGCCCAGGCTACATCACCAACAGAGTTGTTCAAATCAAAAGTAAATAATGGTTTTCTGAAAGTAAAAAAATAAATTGTAACATCCCAAAAATAATATAAAATATTAATGGATTAAGTCTACCATAAGGTAAAATATCATATATCAGTCCATCTTATTGTCCATATATCTTAATGGTACTATATATCTTCCTAAATGTTTGTGTTAAATCTCTTTTGTGTTTTCAGGCAGTTAATGATTAGTTTTATATAAAAGTTTTTATGTAATTTATAAATTGCTCCCATTATAAACCTACTAGCACATAATGTTGAATATTAAATTAAGAAAGTATGAGATATTTAGCTCATTGTTTAAGATTTTCTAGTTAATCATGTGAAGATGAAGAACTGATATAAAAGCACAGTTCCTTTGATCTGATCATTTCCAAGCATATTTTCAGAAGGTTGTCACATGAACATCTAGCTCCCATTAATTCCAACAGTGATACAGGTAATCAACAAAAGGACTATTTATCAGACAAAAAAAAGGGTAATTTTTTAACTTTTTAATATTGAAATTACTTTATATTTGTAGCTTGGGTATATGGTTATTTTTGTGCAACATGTTTGTAATTTTATTTAAATTGTTTTTGTGTTGTTTAAGCCTGTTATTCACCATTTTTGTGCAATTATTGCTAAAAAAAGAAATGTGTAGGCTAAATTTTAATGACACCCTTAAAGGTTGTACTAATAAAGATTATTTTCTCTGCCTATGTTACCTTGAATTAGCATCATTAGAAGTATCAGATTTGTCTATGCTGGTTTTACTGCTCATCTCCCATATTTTGACAGTCCAATCAGCACTACAGGTAACATAAATGTTTGGATGGTATGGATTCCATCGTACTTTATATACGGCCATATTGTGGGCATCAACTGAATCAAGGAACTGACTGGTATAGGCTTTAGAACACATGTGGATCTTGCCCTCCTCAGTGCCCACCAAAAACAAGTAATCATTCTTTCTATGGAAGTCAAAGGCTGTACCACAACCTGAGGAAAAAAAAAAAGTAAATTTCAAACATTGCAAAACATGATGGCTACATTAGAACATGTTAGACATTGCTGAATGTTTATGAGAAATGAGAAATAAGAAAACAGATTAAAACTGCCATATAACACTTAGAATTACTGAAGTCAAATTTGCACTCTTCATAATAGTGGAAATCAGGGTAAAAATTAGTACCTATTTGAACTAAAAATATTGGAATTTATGAAATTTTATGCTTTTTTTTGCACATGCTGCTAAAAATCAATAGAATAGAGAATGTGCCAAAGAACCAACAACCTGACCAAAGAGCAGAAAACAGCTGAAAATGTTTCTTTTTGCATATTCAACAATTAAAACCTATTAATAACTAACTTAAAGGTATTGAAAATGAAAGTTTTACAGTCAAAATGTTATAATAAAAACCTCCCCCCCCCCCCCCCCCCCCCCCCCCCCCAATAATATATGTTTGCACATTTTACCAAATAATGCTTTCTAATAGTAGTTTATATAAACATACCAACAGTATTAACTTTTGTACCATCAGGACCTTCAGCAGTTGTGTCAGGTAAAGTTAAACAGATCACATCCTGGTATGTCAACTCATTCTGTCAAATAAATACATTATTAATCAAGCTGTTTTATGAGTTAAAGCATAATCATCATGTGAAGTTGCTGCATCTATAAGTTTGTCAATGTAATGCTCATCTAGATTGGTTTTTTGGTTTTAATATCAATATATATATAGGAATGCAGTTTTAAACTTCTAAATTAGAACAAGCATTCTGAGAGTATTGCATGGCAATACATAGTCCCCTTCCGGTTAAGAACTCATTGTACTGGAACAAAATGCTAACTTAATCTATAACTTGTCATGGTGCGAACTTTATAACAAATATTAAGTCAATATCTTCAAGCATGAGGAAAAAAGTGTGGAAAACTGATTATTTGAGTGAATTTTCTAAGTCCAAGGACCATAACTCCTCACAAAATCATCAGACTGGAACAAAATTCAAATTGATCTGTAACTTGTCATGATAAAACTATATACCAATTATTAAATCAATATCTTCAAGCATGACAAAAAAAAGAGCGGAAAACTGATTTTTTGATTGAATTTTCTATGTCCAAGGACCATAACTCTACACAAAATCATCAGACCCGAACATAATTCGAACTTGATCTGTAACTTGTCATAATAAAACTATATACCAATTATTAAATCAATATCTTCAAGCATGACCAAAAAAAGAGCGGAAAACTGATTATTTGATTGAATTTTCTATGTCCAAGGACCATAACTCTACACAAAATCATCATACTGAAACATAATTTGAACTTGATCTGTAACTTGTCATAATAAAACTGTATACCAAATTTCTAATCAATATCTTAAAACATGAATAAAAAAGTGTGGAAAACTGATTTGCCGGACTGAGGGACAGACAGACAGACAGACAGAGAGAGTGCAAACCTAAAGTCCCCTTCAACTTCGTAGGGAACTAATAAGCAGCCATAAGTTGTTCCTCAGACAATGTTGAATGCTTCTTCATAAAAAACCAAATTTTCCCATTTTGAAGAATATTACAATGATGAAAGGTATTGGAAAATCTAGCCTTTCAAAAGGCAAATCCTCTTTTTTTGCTTGTTTTTGAATTGTAATAGTTTATTTTTCTTTTGTACACATATATTCTCTTTTATGATTCTTGAATTCTGTAAAAGTATTTATTTACAAAATATGATAATTACCTTGATTATAGTCCAGTGTACAATTCTTCCATCTGAAGACACAGAGTAAAAATTGTGATTGTTTTCTAAGTCATCTGCCTGCCAGCGTACCTGTTATGACAATAATCAGTTATAATAAATATAAAAAACATCATCAATATAGATTTTACAGAAGTTCAAGGTAATTTATTACCATATAATCTACAAACCTTGTTCTTTTAACTCCTCCAAATACTATATTGAGGGGCCTGATGGGGGGTCTCATCACGATTCACGAGTTGATTTTTTTGTCAATCACAATTCACGAGTTGATTTTGTTGTCAATCACGATTCACGAGTTGATTTTGTTGTCAATCACGATTCACAGAAAATAAATTACCATGATCACGGATCACGAAAATATAAAAAAAAAAAAAAAAATCTGTAGAAAAACGGATCACGATAGCGAAAATGCGCAGATCACGAAGAACAAAAATAACCCATCAGGCCCCTCTATATTCTATAAAAAATATTCTAAAATATGTCTTTTTCATTTAATGAATAACTAAAAAGCTGTAAATTGTTGGAAATCCTCACTCTTATAATTTATGTATTCAGATTCAGATTTGCCTTCCTGATGAAACAAAAATTAATTTCCAATTTTTGTTTAAAAAATTCATCAACAAGTTTAGTTGCACACATGTTGACCTGTTAAGCATGCTCTCACTCTTAAATTTAAAGAATATCCAAAAGTACTTGAGAAAAGTGTGATGTCAACATTTTAGTTCATTCAGCATATTGAAAAATTCAAAGTCTGTCAATATATCTAAAGTTAAATCAATGGCATCATTTAGTCTAATTTGATAATTGAAAAGTATTAAAGCATTGCAATAGTTTCTGAATTTACAGTTATATTTCTATGACATACTTTCCAGTATTAGCCATTAGAACATACCTGCCAGACAGGGTCTGTATGTTTTCCATTTTTAGCAGTACACCTATGAACAGGTTCTTTTCTCTCCACATTGAAGATGCCTACACTACCGTCATAAAATCCAACAGCTATCAGATAGGGGTGTTCTGGGTGTAAGTCTAAACACATAACACCACTGTCTGTTTCATAAACAAATTCAGGGAAGGATGGGTTCTTCATACTGTTGAACAAGATCATACCATTTCCTTGTTTCATGAAATCGTCTGAAAATTTGGAACATGATAAAAATGAAATGTCACACTTGCAGATAGTTTAAAAATATTTTGGTGTATGTAGTTCTGTTTCTATTTAAGACAACAACATACACATAAATGGATAAAGTAAATTATAATTTCATTGACATACTGTAAATTCAGAAATTATTGCGTGCCTTTATTATTGCGATTTTGTCATTTTAAACCAAAATGCGATTATTATTTTTGCGATACTGAGAAAATTCCACTTCATTCATATAAAAAAAATCCAAAATGCGAGTTTAAATTATTGCGATTACAACCCTGTCACATTTTTCGCAATAATAAAAACATCGCAATAATTTCTGAACTTACAGTAATCATTATTTCAATTGTATCTTATTTGAACTTACATTTCTCGCAATGAGCCACATAATTCAATGTTAATACATGCAGAAATTGTATGGCATTGTGATAGCATTTTTAATTATTTTGTCTGAAATGATGCTCTGATTAGAAACATTTTTTAAAGTATATAAATAATCACTTTTTTGCACTGAAATCCACCAAAAGTGGTCCGCACTTAAAGCAGAATAATACAAGCATAAATTATTTCATAAAGAATTTAAGTATAGAAATAATCTGACAATAAAAACTGAAATATTCTTCTAATCAACAGAAAAGCAGATAATAAAAAAAATCTTCAATTAAAAATTTTATACAAGCTATATGTTGAAAAATTTACCCTGAGTGTGAGCAATTTATTAAAGAAAGTTTGATATCTTTCACACTGAAACTTACAAGAACCAAAAGAAACAGCAAATAAATCCTTGTATTTTGGATTCCAACAGAGTGAGGTGACTGCCAACTTCTTAGCTTTCTCGTATGTAAATCTCCACAGAGGTAACAGCGTTCCCTCGTTCTCTCTGTATTCATCTGATGGATCTTCCCAATACTTGAAATCTGAAAAAGTATAAAATGGTTAGACAATATAGAATTCTACAGCAAGTTTCAATTAAGTACTTCACCTTTATTTTTTTCAGGACAATGATATAGCAAATACATGTAACAAGAAATTTATTATCCCAGATTCATTGAGAATGATTAATTCAGTTCATTACCAGTAGCAATAAAATCCTATGTTTTAATTAGGTTTTTAATGAGACAATATACTTTATGAAATTAAACATTCTAGCTTTTAGTTGTTTACACTAATATGATCAAATTTCCTTCCTTTTTTGTAAGTACATATTTTACAGAATACAATATCAAGTCAGAATATTTGGTAATACAAACCTTGAGCAATATCATCAAATGTATTCTGGTTGACCATTCTCTCTACAATCTTGGATGCTTTATTTAACCGAGATATATCTTCTCCCTGTAAAAGTGTAGTTCAAAATGGTGTTTAAATTATGTTGACTTATAACATTTCTAATCTTATCTTATATGTCTAAAACGACTTATTAATGTATTAGTTACAACGTCTTATAATTGCTAATAATTTACTTATCAAGTGAATCTTTTTAAATATTATTACGATTATAACTAATATCTTGCACAAGATGGGAAACAAAATCTTCCAAAAAAATTATATAATATTATTTAAGTTGAAAGACAAATCTTAAACAACCCACCTGAGTTTCAGTAATTGTTAACTTCTTCCTAGTTTTCTCTTCCTCCCTTCTACCAGGTACAACTTTCTTCTCTTTGCTCTTCTCCTGAGAATTTATAAGTCAAATATTAACACAATTACATATAAATATATCTTTATAATTGTAAATTCAAATTTTTTAAACATATTCCATTTTTTAATTTTTTCAAAGTACCATTAAAATAAATAAAGATCACCAGAATGTTCAGCTTTCAATAAACTGAACACAAAGAGTTATCTCCCATTGCTAATGAAAATACACATTGCTTACTGTTATTTAAAGATCACTTTGGATTAAACAAATACATCTTTGATTATATTATAAAAATGTGGCCAAATTTTACATCTGGCTGCAGAAATGTATGCATCAGGAAATTATTAAAAAAATGAGTTTGAAAGTAGGCAGTATTAAACTGAACAGAAGAATCATGAAATCTTTAAAATATATAAATAACCCAAGATATAAAATTCATATAATTGTTGAGGGATATTCCATTTAAATATATCCGTAGAAGAGAACATCTATTTTTCCCTGCCACCCCCCCCCCCCCCCCCTGAAACCAAAAAACAAAAACTATTGATAGCTTAAATATGATGATGACCACAATTTTTTTTATTCTACAAGAGATCTAGGACAGAAGCCTCCCTAAAAAAAGCCATATCTCCCCCTACAAACTCAATCATTAAAAATTTAGTACACACTTATTGGACAAGCTTATTGATTAGACTTGAATGTACATGTATAGAAAAGGTCCAGCTATCCCAAACCAACATTCTTATTGTTAAATGCGCGTCCCCCAGGTGGTAAACTTAAATGGAATGGCCCTTACTATAGAATTAACCCTCTATCTTCGTGCTCTAGAGTAATACTGTTAGTATGAAGTTGCCATATGTGGCATAACCCAATATATTGTGCTATTTAAATACTACACTTCTCTATTGTGATGTAAAAAAAAACTACCGGTATCTATTAATCAATGATAATAAATGTAATGGAATACTAACAATTTTTCTACAGTAAAATTTAAATGGGTTTTATCACTTTTAAAAGTTACTAATTAACATTAAAGTAGAGTTTTATTAGTATTAAAATTTCTGATTTTTACAATAGTAGAAACAAATGGTTTAAGGGTCATCAGTGAAACTAGAACTGTCTTTCTGAGGTTGGATTTCTGTAAATTACCAGTTGAAAATCTAAATTTGATTAGTCAGTTCATGCAGTTAATTTCTATTTGATGTAATACACTAATTTCACATGTTAATTTTTGTGTATGATTGCCATGCAATTATATCACCCTTTGCCTAAATAAGAACCAATAGGCAAGACTAAATATGGTGACATAGTATGTATGGTTTATCTATGATGCAGGCAGTTCATTTACACTAAATATTTAAAACTATTTTTTTGCAAACTGCTGAGAAATTACTTGAACAATCTGCTGGAAAGCGGTCGGTGGTTTATATGCTTGCTTTTCTCTTAATGTTTCCATCTAAAATATATATTCGAGTATGAATATTTATAAATAGAAGGAAACTTTTCAATACCTTGACATGTAAGAGCTGGCTACTTATAATCATGATTTTTACTGTATATATGTTTATTCATATTTTATACAGTTTTCTTTCATCCTGTTTCTTAACCTGGTACTTAACCAAAGTTTGAATAATGATTTAACAGGTCACCTTAAGGGCTGTTCCATTACCCAGGGACAGTACTTCAACAATAGAGTAGCCTCCCATAGAATCAATTTTGGACACATCCATTTTAAACTTATCAGTTTAGACAAAGAAAAAAATTTCACATCCTCCAGAGTCCTAACATGGTGAACTCAAATTATTATCCCTGGGTCACATGTATGGTTTTATGGAACAGCCCTAAGCTATTATAAGTTTGTTTCTGGTACAAAAATGGTCACACAGCAAATTTAAAAGATAAAATCTTTTTCTTGATGTGAACTTATTTATCTTTGGTGCATGATGATGAAAATCTTAAATAATAAAAAAAAAAATGACATCACAACAATCACTGATCCTTTTCCAATTACATAAAACATTCAACATAATGGATTTAGTAATTTGTTATCTGCAATCTCTGAAATGTCCAAGTCAGATTAATTATAATGACTTACAAACAATATTATTATGTGCATGGTCTTAAATGTCAGTTTCCATTTTTGAGATTTTGCTTGAACAAATTGTATTAATAGTTAAAATATACATGTACCAAAATCTTGACATATATAATAAGTGACTTCTAAACTACACAACCATATAAAAAAGTATAAAAAATAAAACCTCTGACTTCCTGAAGATAGAAGAGAAAAGAAGTTATTTTTTAAATCAAGTGATATCAAAATAATTAGATACACATCTATGAAATCACACATCAGATCCTGACGGTTCAATGGTTTATTGACTTACTTGTTTTTCAAAGTCTTCTTGGTATGCATCAAATATATCCCATTGTGTAACATTACCAGAAAATGTGGCTCTTGGTGGTGGCTCTGTGGCAGTTCCCCTTTCCTATGAAAGAATTTTTTTTTCACTTAACTAAATATCATATCTTATTCAGAATTGATCCAGAGTAAAAAAAAATTAATTGTTGTAAGAAATGAAACAGAAATGTTCTTGAAAGATTTAAACAAGTGTTCAGAAGTTGTTATTTTCTACTTTTCTCCCTTTGAAAGACACAAGAATTAATAAAGTAATAATTAAAACCACAAACCAGTGAACATAAACTTTATAAATGCAAGACAATCCAAATTTAATAACAGACATTTACTAAAATCACAAGAAGGGGGATATTCAAAACTTTAACAGAAGTTCAGCTAAAGGCTTTTTACTATATAACTAACCCTGTATGGATTGTTGTATGTCTGTGATGCTCTTTCACTATAGTTGAACTGATTTGTCAATTTTTTGGATCCAGTAGATTCACCTTCAGCTGGAGCTGGAGTTGCTGCCCCGTCCTTAGCTTCTTCAGCTGCCTGGAAAATAAATAAAATTGTGAAGTATATATCTCATTAAAAATACTATCTTTTAAAGGTTTATTAAAAAATTGTTTGCCACTGAGAAATTTATTTCTATGAATAAGCATTGAAAAATTACTTATCATGTACTTACTGAGCAAATGCATGACACAATGTTGGAAAAAAATTTAAATTTAAAAAAAAAAATTTTGTTATTAATTTATAAGGAATGTTACCATCTACCTATTCCTGAAAAAAATTATTGAGAAAATATTTAAAAATTTATCTGATGACATTTTTGAGAAAAAAATAAGAGATTAGTGATTATAATTCATAAAATAATTCCTGATGTTGACAAAAATTGTTTGGAACCTACTTCTTCTTTAGCCTGTTCTTCCCCCTCTGCTGCTCCTGCTGCTGGAGTGGCCTCCCCTCCTTCACTTCCTGCATGTTCACTTGGTACAGCTAAAAGTACAAATGAGATTTGGTTATTTCAATACAAAAAAAATAAATTTACTTATTGTCCCTTTATTCCATGATCACTCCCACACCACCTTATAATCTTGTATCGTGCTATTTTCACAATTTTGTTCATATTTTTCTTAGATATCATGTCATGTCCTTAAATATAAGATATATTCCCATGGAAAGAAATCAGGTAAAAGTCTAGCCCAAATAATTATGACGTCTTGAAAGGCTATTTTAATTTTTTTCTGTGACGCCTTCCTACAACGTCATAACGCTGAAGCCATTTTTTCCATCTGGATTTTGAGAGAGAATTTTGGGGGGAACTTTGAGACCCAATTTTGGCATGAAATCTTCATTAACAGTTAGAAATTTTTGCAAAGATACAAAGTCTCACCTTTTGTATGCTTATTGGGGCTAAATATTTCCAGAAATGTCCAAAAGAAATGATAAAACAAGATACGATTCCATTTGAGGTGGGCAAACATTTATTTTGTTTTCAAAATGATTTCCCAGAATTTCCTAGATACGTCACTTCCAGCAAATATAAAATATCAAACTTGGTAAAATTTGGCAGCATCAAATTTCCGAATAATATAAATCGAACATTCCGGAAATTCTGGTTCATTAAATAAACGATTTTGATATTTTATATTCGCCGGAAATGACATATTTTGGAAATTCGGGGAAACCATTTTGAAAACAAAATAAATATTTGACAACCTCAAATGGAATCATGTCTTATTTTATCATTTCTTTGGGATATTTCTGGAAATATTTTGCACCAATAAGCACACAATAGGTGAGACTTTGTATCTTTGCAAAAATTTCCAATTGTAAATGAAGATTTCATGCCAAAATTGGGTCTCAAAGTTCCCCCCAAAATTCTCTCTGAAAGTCCAGACGAAAAAAATGACTTCAGCGTTATGACGTCATAGGAAGGCGTCATAGAAATAAATTAAAATAGCCTTTCAAGACGTCATAATTATTTGGACTAGTAAAAGTCCTTAAAACATAATGTCAATGTGATTGAAGATGACAAACAGAAAATAACTCCTAGTTCCTGAGTTTTTGAAAAAAGGTTTACACCACAGGTGTATTTCAAATGATTTCTTTTCACCCCAAGCCAAAAAATGTGCTATTTGCCAAAAATATTTTCCATATAATAGATTTAAGAGGCTACGTACCGTAAAAAGATAATAAAGATACATTGTCATGCGTAAATATTTCATTTTTACTAGGCAAGAAACAGGACAAAAATACTTTGCAAGCTTCATATTTTAAATCTTAATATTTGGGTGCTTTTATTATTGCTTTTGTTTAACAATGGATACAAATGTGTGATTAATTATTGTGATTGTTGAACAATGGATACAAATGTGTAATTAATTATTGTGATTGTTAAACAATGGATACAAATGTGTGATTAATTATTGTGATTTCAGGAAATACTTCAAACAAATAAAACTATCAAAATATCTCTGTATTTTTGGTAATATGGAAGATACTGTCATATGACATCTTTATGCTTCTGAATAATTATGTTATATATTAAACAACTATATATTTTAATGGGTTTTTTTCTACATATTTTTCAGTATATGCTATTCTTTTTTGGCATTCATACCACAGGAATGACAATAATCTATTTTACATGGTTTCTTTTTTTGTAGTGTGAATAATTTACCTTCTGGAATTCCAAGTCTTGCTCTTTGCCTTTTAGCTTCATCTGATTCTTTATGAATCATGTTACCATCAAGGGCGAAATGGATGGCTAATTGATCAACACTTGAAGTTTGTTTATACTGCCTTTCCTGTTAACAAAATGTATAAAATAACATGAGAACAATTAAACTTACTGGTATCTTTTTCTGAATATCAACTATTGTTCAATTATTAATCATATTTCTGCATTCTTTTAAAGCATATACTGGGTAATGTAAGAAATTATCTTCTTGTATAGAAATACAGGAACTTTCAATCAATAGGTTTGTTGAGTAAAAAAAAAATGAGGTATAGATAATATACATAAAACCTAACTTGTTTGATATAAAAAATTATACATTTGACCAGTCAAATGAAATGGTACAATGTGAGATTAAAGTTGCCCTCTGAATTCATAAAAATAAATTGTATGAAACCTGTAACAATGGATCTTAGGTCTGACGACAAAATTTGACTGTGACATCATTCAAATCATGAAATATAGGATAATGCTAGAAACATTTTAGTGAAACCAATATACATCAAAGTGTGGCCCAAATTATGGTTTTTCTCCCAAGTGAGCTTATGAACACAAAATACACTTCCTGTATTATTACATTTTTTTCATTAAGGACGGTGCTCTATATTTTTTAGATATGCGAGGCAAATGGCCAAGATTTTGTGCAACTTAAACATTTTCTGCCATTTGATGTCTTCATAACCCATGACAGGAAATTTATTTCTTAATTATAATCATTATACTGTCTTTTTTGGGAACAAGCTAAATTGTGGCAATAAGACTGGTTGCATATTATTCAGAACGTTATTTGCAAATTACATACAATTTGGAATAGTAGACTTTACAAAGGGGTGGTACAATGAGGCAGCACTGTATGTGATATTTCATTTGAAACTATACCTTGAAGCTGTATCTAACAATATTCTGTGGTGCATGTGGATTGTTTGCAGTTAGAATTCTGGTGAACTCTTCCTTCAGTTGCTGTAGAGAGAAAACAAAAAAGTTATTATTTAAGTTCAGTTTTATCATATGCTATTTTATGTTAAGCATGATATTTCATCAGTTTGCATTTAATTTAAAAAAATATTATTATGCATATAAATGCATTAAAGACAATATTTTCATGATTTTACATTACTTTTTTGAAATTTGTAAGATAAAATATTTAATTGTTCAAAGTGTTTTTTTTTTTAGCAATTTCATAACTTTTTATATTACAAATGTATAATTTATATTACGTTATTAAGAAATTATTAATTGCAGTTACATGAATTACAAATCAAAAATAAGTTTTAATGTGAAAATTCCTACATTCCCTTTTCTCATCTATTGTATTTAACTGTCAATAGTTTCTGTTATACATTTTTTTTATTTATTTTCATATCGCAAAGTTAAACAGTTTGCATGACATTTTTAGAATTTTTTTTTAGAATTATTCTCCTTTAAATTCATAGATATCTATATTTAACATTTTCTATGACATTGCTTTTTAATGTTGATTTCCTATCTTTTACAAAAAAGTTAAATTGCACTATCTAAAATTAAACTCCCAAATCCTTTAACTCCTTTAAAGGGGTTGGTAATAATGTTAAAACTATAGATTGTAGCATCTAGAGTATTTCTATGATAACTTGTTTATATTTCTAATCTGCTATGAATACTTACACCTTCATTTAAATCTAACTGGTCCTCAGGTTTGACTAGATTTTTGTGCTGGAAAATACAAGAGACATAAAATAAGTATAAAAGAGTTTTAATTGCTTTCTTTTGGGATGTATTGATTATGCTTACAATGGGCTGATTTTTTTTTAAATGATCCTAAAATAAGGCACTTATAAACAAACTTCTAATTTAGCAACAAATTGAAAGTGTAAAAGAATGTGAAAACTTGCAAAAAAATTGTCATACACCTTTTTCTTTCTATCTCAGGCAATTCTGTACTAGAATGTAATGACAGAGAATTTGTGGAAAAAACCCTTTGGATTTAATAAAACAGGTAGCCAACAACTGCTCATGACTTATTTAGTTAGAGTCCTTCCAGAAATAAATGGACAGGGAGATGAAGACATGCATTTAATGCCATGCCATCATGCATGATACGTAAGTATGGACCAATAACTCTTGAAGACTAATCTACAGAAGAAAACGGACCAACAAAATTTTAAATTGTTTTCCATCATCCCATATACATTCATCTTAAAGCATATTAAAAGTAGCATGACAAAATGTGAACATGATTAACAGCTGAATAGGACAAAAGATATGTTCAATACCAAACAATTGACATATAATATGGCTTTATAGATATTTTATAAACGAGATTGAAATATTAAATATTTACCTGCATCCAATCTTCAGCCTCAGTACCATCTCCTATATCTGTCATGTCATCTCCATCCTAGAATATAAAACAGGAGGGTCAAATTATCAAATGGATGATAAAATTATTAAAAAAAATCATTTCTATAACAATCACATCAAATATGGTGCAAACTATTGAAAGTAGAACATCAAAACTATATTGATTATATAATATAACTTTTTATTTTTATTTATTATTCACAGCCTAAGTAACAAATAAAATTTAAACAAATTGGTTATCAATTAAAGTGAGTATATTACCATATATATATATATTCAAAAGTTATATGATTGACTTGTAACTCTGGAGAGTTTTGTTTCTCTTTTTTCAGTGATTCTTCTGATCTTTTTTCAATAAACTGCTGTGTCGTGAATGCAATCATTATCCTTATATTAAACAGTCAAGTCCCATAACAACAAATTTTCAAAAAAATTGTTAAAAAAAAAATTAACCAAAGTCCATTAACCAGGACCATTAATTTGGAAAATCTTCAAAATATGAGAGCTTGTGTTCAATAATCTTGGCTTTGTCAATAATTTATCAAGCTTTTTAAGTTCCATAACTGTGGAACATCATTAATCACCAAAATTTAAACTTAAAGAGAAAGTTCTGTCCTCATAGATGCAAACATTACAGTGTAAAAATTGAATGAGGCAAATTGAATTTATTATGATTTTTGCTTGGATGGACTGCATGAAGATAATATACAATTATGGCCCGTAGAAAAGGTGAATATCCAAAATTGTCAACAGGACAATAGATATAAGAAGTCACAATTTATAAAAGTAAACCATTATAGGTCAAAGTACGGTCTTCAACACGGAGCCTTAGCTCACACCGCACAGCAAGCTATAAAGGGCCCCAAAAATTACTAGTGTTAAACCATTCAAACGGGAAAACCAAACAAGGTTATTCAAATGAGGGTGCAGCCCGAAGTGAAATAATTTTTTAGGGTTGACAATTTTGGATATTCATCGCTTCTATGCGGCCACAATTGTTTTATTTTACCGAATTAACAGTGGAAGGGTCTTTTGAAACATTGAAAAAAGCATGTAACCTATTGTACAGTATCGTAACTAACACAAGAAAACGTTTGAAAATAAATTTGTGAATTTCTCATATATACAACAAAGGTAGAAACTTTTTGTGAAATATTGATGGCCATGAAAAGGACCTTTTATTAGAGATATCCTTGGCACTAGATGCATTTCCAAAGCCTTGTTTCTTCGTCACTTGATGGGCTTCCTGTAACTTGAAGTTGAACGTTGCCATTTTGTTTTCTAATGTCTGTGACGTCATTTTCATGGGAGATAACTCGTGTACAAATCAAGAACTCAAAAGGTTATTCATCGATGAATAATAGGGTAATTCATCGCTGGTGTAAATTTTTAGGGTTATTCGTCCTTCCTTGCAATTAAATGAAAATTAACTGATGAATTATTCCATGTCACGTGATAACGCGTTACCCAATAGAATTGTTTATGATATATGTAAGGTATAATAATATATAATACCATATTATTATCTATAAACATGAAAAATGAATATGTGCAAAACCAAACAAAAATGTACTAAAGCACATAATTGATATTAACTAGCTTGCAACTGTGTCAATGACTTTTCTAAAATAAATAGCCTATAGTGTCTTCAAAGTGCCACATGTTTATGGTCCTAAGTAAAGTTTCTTTCCCCTTTGTTATCAGAAACCGAATAAAAAGTTCCTTCCTTAATTTGTTAAATAATCAGGGTTCTAACTATAAGTCATTGATTAGCCATTTTTGGCCATGGTGAGTCCAACAATGAGAAGAAAAAATATAATTGCTAAATTCTCTCCATGACAAAAAAAGCAAGGAAGTTACATCAAATTTTCATTAATTTTGCTATCAATTGATAACTGGGCTCAGCTGATACAACATTGTACAATATCTTGATGGCCTTTTTAGACAATGATAAGTCCAGACAGATTCTATGAGTTCTGGACCAATGGACTCTGATTGTAAAGGTTTCATCTACATAAATTTAAGAATTTTTCATATTGGAGAACAAATTTCCAATTGTTATAGCTATGAATTATACCATTAAAACCAAATTAAAAAATAATTACAAAAATGCCCACAATATCTATGTTAACATTGCAAAAGACCAGACCAAAATGATACAAGAAATCAGCACCAAAAATTCCCAAATGAAATGAATGAAAAAATGAAGCTACTTTAAATCTACCACCACCTTACCATAACACATTACATTAGCCACAAAATAAAATATTAAAATCTGTGGTACATAATAAAGCAGAAACATTTACAACCAATTTGCAACCAAAGAAATGAATATAACAAACCTATTAAAAACAAACAACAAAACACTTTTTACCTTTTTGTGAAGAATACCTGGTCCTTTTGTTTGCTTGGACTTGGCAGCTGCCTAAAGAATTCAAAATTGTATAAAATCAATTATTTATGTATAACTTTATAATCACATCGACTCACCTTAATCCTGGTCCTTCTGCGGGCCATGATATCACTCATTCCACCAGCCTGTATAGAAAACAGTAGACATGCATGATTGTGCATTACATTTAGCCTTCAAGGTGTATTGTGGGGAAAAACTGTTACACTTTTGTGGACAGATTTTAAATGTAGTGAAAGTTGGTTCAGTCAAACAAATCACTATTTTTGTGCACAACCCATTTTAGTTAAAATAAATAATTTCTTATACCGATTGTTTTCTCAATTTTTTATTCTTAGATTGAAAAAAAATCTATCTCATTACAAAGATGACTAAAAACATATAATGCATGTAATGGGGTCATTGGAAAGGTCATTGATTCCAATTAAACATATATATTACAAGTATTTTCATCCTTCTATTACGTTCTTTTCCATTTCTTTTTATTTCTGTGTATTATTAATGGAATCGCTTTTTCAAAATAATTGTCTAGGAATGATCAGCTGCAGTTAATACATGTAAATATAGTTCCCTGGCTGTAATTAACCTGATTAGAAAAAGTCAGTATTTTAGTTTTTGACATAAAAATTTACACAAAATACATTTAGGAGTAGCTGTGCTTGTTTTATATTTAATCACTGTTTCAGATAAAAAAAAAAAAAAAGGGTCTCAATTAAGTGAAATTTTATTTGTTGAAAAATCTTCTGATGTATGTTTTAATATAAAAATATTTATGTTCCCTATATAAAAAAGAAGGGTAAGAGTTCCATATGACACCCCCACCATACTAAAAGAACACAATAATGTATTACAGTTGGAACTCTTTCCGTATATATATCATGTCATAACCATTTAAAAGATAAAAATTTTTGCAAGGTACCTGTGCTTCTTTTAACATGGTTTCATTTAAAAGATGAGTTTTTTTACTGTAGTTAACAATTTGTGTTTTTATTAAATTACAACAAAACAAAGACATCCTTTGTCCTCATGTGCATGACAATGAATTATTTCACATGACAGTATCACCAGTGTTAAAATTATTGTTATAAATAATAGCCTGGCCATAAGGCCAACTTTGAATAATTCATTGTGTAGTTTTTTTGCTTTTAAATTGATGGTACTCCAAATCTCCCTTGAATCATACAGGAATTTTTTTTATCGGACTCTGCAAAGACTAATTGATAACATTTGTTGCATTGAAATATAAAACACAAGTTAAGAATTAGTCACACTGACTGATTGATTAATAGCAGTTAAAATATTGATGCATATCATTTTTCTGAAAATTTGTCAGATTTACGATTAAAATGGAAATTTTTCTACTAAGAAACAGTTATCAGGATGAGAACTTATAATTCAAAAAAAAAAAGCAACCACTCAGACTGAGACCTTATTCAAAATTTTAAACAGGCGTACCAATGTAGTTCAAAATTACATAAATGTTAAATCTTTGTTTTATAATATATTAGAAATATCCGTATATTTTAGTTATGAATGTTTTTCATATAGAATAAATTGTGAAAGAAACCAAAAGTCAGAATGTAAGGGTTAAAGCAGTAACCAGGTAGATCATGGTGAAACAAGTGTTTTTAAATTGTTTTCTACTTTTAATATGGGCAATACTTAAAATCAACACTGGTTTCTGTAAAACTTACCCCAACAGATTAGTCACTCATGCATGAAATATAGGTCAGATGCACCAGAATGTCATTAAATCATAAGTTTCTCAGAAATGGACTTGAACAAAAAACAGTTCCAAAGGTATTAATTTAAGAACGTTATGGGCAAAGTTAAAATGACCACATTTCCCATAAAATGATGGATAATATCATATTATTGTTGTAGATTAATGCTGATACTTTAAAATTGACAGATTTGTTGTTGTTTTATAGTCAAAGTGGTATGGTTTAAACATATGGTTTTGGTGTACATGTATTTATGCAGCATCACTTTTAGAATGTTAATACAAAATAAATCAGGGAATAAATATGTGTTTGTTTGATATCCTATCCTAGACTATTTGATGTTACTCATTGACCTAAAAATATTTTACAATAGTAGTTTATTAATTAACAGACCTTGAAAAATACTTAGTTTGATTAAAAATACAACACAAGCAAAAATGGTCAAGTACCTTTAATGAGACACAGAGCAGGGAATATGTTCAAAATTTAAATAAGGTCTAAAATTTTTAATTTAAGCATCACTTTTGAAATTCATGGGACAAAACATTTTGGCTTTTTTGACAGTCCAAAGAACATATTTTTATCTTTAGTCCCTAACCCTTAAAAAAGGCTCTGTGATTTCAGTTAAAAATATTTTCAAGATGTAATATTTGGTTATAGTAAAAAAAAAGTAATTATATATATATATAAAACAATGTTTGTGCTTCATAGGAAGAACAGTATGTGCTTTAGGCAAAGATTGAAGATTTTATGTATAAAAAAATTTATGAACTAACAGTACAGTAAATTCATGCTGTTATTAGTGACCAAGAGCATAATTAAGGAATCAAGAATTCAAAATTGACATAAAAATTACTTCTATTTGGTTTCAAGTGCATGCAGGTACATTAAGATGGTGGTTATATATAATACAGATTGAAGGCATAATATAGGCAACAGGTATTCATGCAATGTCTTTTAAGCTGGTAGAATAGTGAGATGAAGCAGACAGATAGATATAAGCATATTTATGTATTTTAGAGAAAGAGAGCAAATTGCCACTGTAAGAAATGACTATAGGCATCAGCTACTGTAAATTCAGAAATTATTGCGTGCATTTATTATTGCGATTTTGTCATTTTAGACTTTAATGCGATTTTAATTTTTACGATTTTGAGAAAAATCCTGTTTAATTCATATAAAATATTTCAAAGTGCGACTTTAAATTATTGCGTTTACAACTCTGTCGCATTTTTCGCAATAATAAAAACCTCGCAATAATTTCTGAATTTACAGTATATTATTAATATATAAATCTAAAGAAAGATCAAAATTCTTTGTCCAGTAACAGCTTTAGCTGCAATAACACAAACAAAATAAAATACTGTAAATTTAGAAATTATTGGAATGTTTTAATTAATGCGCAAAATGTAACAGTATCAGGTTTGATAATAAATAACACTGTATTCATTATTTCAGTAGTGCTTTTCCTCTACAAAATTTTTTCAATCACATCTTGCATTTTTACCAGTAATCAGCGATTTGCAATAATAAATGCATGCATTATTTAATTTCTGAATTTACAGTAAATGAAATTTCATTAAATCAGTAATCAATTAACATGTACATGTATGTACAATATTTGAACTGGCAATTGTTCTCAATTACCCACTTGTTTTTCTTTAATACGAGCTGAAGCCTGAAGGTCTAACTATCAATTTATCATATACATGTATTAACAAGGTATTAAGTTATTTTGACCTCAATAATTCCTTCTATTTAAGACTGAATTGCTGTAAACATAAAAACTTTTTCTTTCCTCCAACAGAATGTATGTATGTAGCAATCTAGGTCTCCTTTTTTTCAATATAATTAACAAAATATTGTGTGATACATTTGACTAAAATAACTACATCATCCATGTAGTCCATAAATGATAATGATAAAAATTACCTTCTTTTATAATATATGTATGTGCAGAATTTATTAACAAAGACAGATTATTATAAACTAACTATATTAATACTTGAAATGTATATCTAATTATAGATGATCTGAATTGTCAAAACATCAAATATGAATTAAACTTAAATTTTCCTTAAACTGTTAATTTAAAAGCATTGATATTTTATCTTTTGAAAATAAACAAGACATGCTAACTTTCAAGACTAGATAGATACACTAAAATCAGAATAGTATGTGGTCACATTAATTTTATCAACTCTTTTTTTCATTCTATCCCCTTACCTGACCATTTCAGCAAATTATCCTCCTTATTTCATAGCTTAGAATTTAAATGTTTAAATAACCTTTTTATATTGATATTCAGTTGCCTAAGGTTATGTTTTGTTATGTTTTATTTTAATGTTTATACTGAACCAGTAGAACTTTGTTACACAAATTCTCTTTATAATTCTATGTACTAGTCTGCAGTAATGCCAGTAGGAAAGTCTATAACCAGAAACTCTTTAAGTCAAAATTGACAGCAACATTAGCAATTATTATTCATGCTGTTATTTAAGCAGATACATGTAGATACAATGTACACACTGCAAGAATAAGTATATGACCAGTGTAAGCTGGTAAGACCCCAATATTGTTATCTAACACTGCTATTTCAATCTTCTTTTCAATCAGTTTAATTACTTACCTGCAGTGTTATTTAAGGACTTTTATTATGTCTATCAATTGTATGGTGTCAATAATACTAAAATAAGTAACTGAATGTTGCTTCTTTTACAGTCTACTGATTGACTGAATATGAAAAGGAGAAGTTTTCAAATTTCAATGAAACAGTAACCCGAACACACAAATTCACCAAAAAGACTGTATTCAATTTCGTTAGGTCTCCATACAGGTTTCAACAATGAAACACTTAGTCACTTAATTCCGTAACATTGACACCACCAATTTATAAGACATAATTGTGATAATGCAGTTTATGACGAGAGTCACCAGGACCCAAGTAGATTTGTTACTTTGCAAAGGTTTCTCATCAAAGGAAAATTTGTGTGTTGTAAGTTGCGGTAAAATCTTAACAATAGTTATTGCAGTCCAAGATATTTAAAACTCTTGAAGCTACAGCTAGTACAGGCCCATGCACTTAATCACTTATTACAGAGCTCAATTTTTAGAATTTCTTTTCTTTTCTGTTGGTCTGTAGAAATGATTTTTACAGAGCCAAAAGCAATTTTACAAGCCTGGGCTGCTAGACTTGTGGTTAAGCATGTGCATCTACTTCTTTTTTTAATTTTAAGCTTTGGAAATTGGAGTTTTTGTTCAACACATTTTTTATACAAAATGAAAATGTCTAATAAAAACGTGTATTCGATGTATGTGTATTTAACAAACCTGCTTCCCCTTTGCTGGTTGTTTTGGTGGCATTTTAAATGATAACTAATGTACCAAATCCAGCAAATACACCAATAAATTCAGACAAATAACGTGTATCCACCGAACAATGGCGTTGTTGTTGCTAGGGTAATTGCGCAGGCGTACAAGGAACGAGATTTACGTTAAGTTTGAGACATCCGGTTCGGCTAAGAAGAAAAAAAATATCAACACTTCTGACATTTTCCGACGTTCATCAACAAAATGAGCTTTTATCCCAAAACAGATGGTTAAAATTTAGAAATGGACGGTATGGAAGATAGCGGATTTGACAGTGACCAAAAATCAACTCAAGCATTAACCACGGATTCCCCAGCAGTTTGTATTTTCAAACATATGTCGCCTCAAAAAACTTTCATACATGTAACTTTGTCTGTATACAATTTACTATTTACAGACTAGTAACAGTACTGTAACTTCGACCCTGCCATGGATAGAAACAAGTGCCTGTGAGCATTTCATTCTTTTTAGTTGTTTTTCCTTGGTTTAACGGTTCAGTTGCTACATGTGAACAACAAAGACCTCTTAAACACCATTTATCTCAATAAATTTGCCAACAATGCCATTGTAAGGATTGGGGGATTATATGATACTAACTCCTTTAGGGATTAAATGTGGTACATGACTGTTGGGAAAATAGCCAAAGGATATGTCACTGTAACATATCGAGATCAATGCTATTCAATGCTGGCTTGTGGCTAATAAATTTTGTTACCCTTTTACTCTGTCATATACATGTATATATAATTATATATACCTTATTACCAATATGTCATCAGTATTACGCTGTTACTTATCATAAACGGAGCTAAATCAGTAGAAGGGTCAACATCTGTCAAACCTTCTATACCACCATGCACTCAAATTCTAATATTTGTTATATAACAATGTACACTAAACATTTATCCAAATTATAAAAAATCTAAAATAAACAATTTACAGGGCATAGGGTCGATAATATGTAGCTTCGTTTTGTGTGTATTTTAGTCTAATTAACTGTCTAGTTGACCTCCCGAAAACCACCGATGCCCATATAAGGGATATAAACATAAATAAAGATATAAATAGATAGCACAACTTGTGCAATTGAATTCTTCTAGGTCTATTTAATTTCATTTATAGATTAAAAATATATGTTAATCATCATTTTTACATGTATAAGAATGATTTTTTTGAGGATCGAATCAGTCACTTAAATGGATTTGACCTTTGTTTACTTTCAATGTTGACATTCTTTTCCTTTAAATAATCAAACATGCACACAATTCATGCGTTTTCCAACTCTATCTAAGGGGTTAAATTGAAGTTCACATGAATACGGATTCAATGAGGTTGAATTATTCACTTGCAAGTGAATAATTCATCATCAATATTTATTTGCTTATTTTGACAAAATTAGACAATACTGGCTGCTAAAAGCGAATTATTATTTCACTATTCCACTTTCATTAATGATTGAACAAAAAAAATCATATTTTATAAATTTGTTATATCTTGTAGCTATAGCTAGTGCCCCTTTAAAATGGCAGAAAATTTCTTTCACATTTTCATCTTTTCAGGATTTTTGCATAAACTAAAACATTTGAGTTATAATTCATAAAGGAGCATATGATTTCTCCCAAATTTGTTTCTGATTACACCAAAAAGCAGCAGAGGATGATGGGATGTACATTGTACATGTACAAAATGTATAAAACTAAAAAAAAATTGACCAATATAACACATGGGAGCTCATCTGGTAGCACCTGTGCCTCGTATTATATATAATCATGACAATAATGGCCTTCATAAAGAATAAATCCAATATTATCAAATCAAGATTTTCAATAGCTGTTTTAATAATTTTGTTATTAACTTTTCATGAAGGCCATAATTATATTTTTATACTGAACTGAATGTGGGACAAAATGTAATTCTAATTTTGTTTCATATTGTTTTGTGTTTTGAGAGTCTTTTTGTTGTAAAATATTTTCTAATTCTTAACAGAATGGCAACTAAATCATATAGTCACCACCATTTTCACCAGATGACAACTAGTTATTTCTTTGAAATGCAAAAGTGGCTGTGCCCAATATCAAATAAGTAATTTTTGCTGGATTGTATATGCTAATTCTCAAACAGTTATTTTGCCTACTTCCAGTTTCCTGCTGGAAAATTATTAATTTTACTACATGCATACATATCCAAAGCAGTTATTTTTCATGTTTTTCTTTTGCACATTTTCACACTGGAAAAGAAATTATTTTTTTTGTCCCCTGGGGTGTGGGGGACATAGAAATACCAGGCGTCCGTCTGCCTTTCCATTTGGTGTTGTAAGCGCTCTCACTTATACAATTCTTGCCAGATTTTTATGAAATTTATATCTGAGGTATAATAATTATCAGCAATGTCTTGGAAACATAGGGACCTCGGTGGCGAGTGGTCTAAGTAGTTCTTACTGTAATCACTAGCCAGTCAACACTGAGGTTGTGAGTACTAACCCCGCTCGTGCAGGTGCACTCGACTCCAATCTTAATTGACTAGGATTGTCAGTTTTCCTATCAAAGATTGGTGGTTTTCTCTGGGCACTCCTGCTTCCTCCACCAATAAAAACTGGCCGTCACGAAATAACCCAAAAGCGGTGCTTAAAAGTGGCGTTAAAACACCAAAAAATCAAAAAAATCTTGGAAACATAAGTGCCATAAGTATGTTTAAAGGAGTTATGCCCTTGGAAATATAAAGTACATGGAAAATTGCATTGTAATTTTATACTTAGTGTTCTCAGGCCTACATTTGTTTTAAGGATTATTATGAAATTTAAATCAAAGGTTTATACATGTATCAGCATTATTGGGGACAGTTTTGAAAATCAGTGCTGATCAATTATTTTTACATGAGTGTTATGTCTCTTAGAAATGTAAATTTTAAAGAAAAATAATTGCATTGTACAAATGTAAGTGATCTTAAGTGTACAATTATTGCCAGATATATATGAAATTTATATCAGAAATGTGTCGGATGAGTTTGAAAATCAGTACCGATCAACTATTTTTAAAAGAGTTTTGCCCTTGGGATTATTAATTATATAGAAAATTGCATTGTAAGCACTCATACATTTCATGTAGGGTTATTATAAAATTTTTATCAAAAGTTTATGTCAGCAATGTCTGGAGCGAGTTCGAAAATCAGTGCTGATCAATTGTTTTTACATGAGTTATGTCTCTTTGAAATATTGTTTATATTGAACATTGTATTGTAAGCACTCTCACACCTACATTTCCATTCAAGTTTTTATGAAATTTCTATCAAAGGCATATATCAGCAAGGTCTTGGAAGATTGCAGACCAACTATTTTTCAGGAGTTATGCGCCCCATAACTCCTGTAAAAATAGTATTATGCCTCTTGGAAATGAAAATTATATGAAAATAGCATTGTTCATGTCAGTGATCTTGCCTACAGTTCTTGCAAGATATTTATAAAAATATTTTAAAGATCTAAAAATTATTTTTATTTGGTTATTTCCCTTGGATAGATAAATTATGTGCAATATCATGAATATGGGAGACATCGGAACACTTCTTTTATTTGTGATCATTTTATTAATGGTTTAATTTCCTTGAAGTATAACAATAATTTTAATTAATATGAGGCAGGTGTCCACCTGTGTAAGAGGACAAAGTCTGTAAGTAGCTTTGAGACATTTCGGCCTTATACCTGTTTGGCCATATTTGATTGGGCCACATTTTCTCATAATGCGTATTAGATAAATTTACATTAAATTAGTATTTTGAAAGAAGTTTATGAAAAGGAATGTTATTTAACTAAAAGAAATGTGATCATATAAAGTCTGCATCTGTGAAAGGTAGGTAACTCAGTAATAAAAATATTTACAACATGAAAATATATGATTGCAATCACTTTACTTAGAATGGCCAAAGTATAAGTTTTGTCAATAATTCTTGCATTGTAAATAGCTATTTAAACAGTACACGTATTATTAATTCTTTTTCACTATTAAATTTCTAAAATAATTTTGAATCTTGACCAAGGCCATCTGTTTTTTTTTTGTACAGTGTAGTGACTTTTACAAAACATAATTTAAAAATAACCAGTTTGACATACATACAGTGCTATGGACAAATGGCCGAATGATTACAGTTATTGTTCTTGTACATGATTATAAAATCTGTTGCCTTCTTATGTTTTCAGTGTTAATCATGATATTAAGATAAATATCTTCTATTTCAAATTCAAAGTGTGTTTCAGAAATAATTGTACTAAAACTGAATAAATATGTACTTGAAGGAAACCAATCACCTTTTCAAAATTTTAATGAAGGTCAAACATTGTAAGATAATTTAACATGTTTCAACACCTTTCGGATTTATATGTACCAATGATAAATTATACATCTACAAAACATTGTCCAATTACATGTATTGTTAAATAATGATTAAAAAAACTGGAAATACTGACTTTCTAATTTCAAAAATATATGTGTTTGGGAGGAAATTTCAAGAGGCCCACATTGTTTTTCAATAAACAACAGATTTATATTTTGATACTAAAAAATAAAGAAAAATAACTCATTTCTGATTCTGTTAATGCAGTTGTATATGAAGACTGATTATTATACGACCGCAAAAATTAAAAATTTTTTGGTCGTATATTGGTATGACGTTGGCGTCGTCGTCGTCGTCCGAAGACACATTGGTTTTCGCACTCTAACTTTAGTTTAAGTGAATGGATCTCCATGAAATTTTACCATAAGGTTCAATACCACGAAAGGAAGGTTGGGATTGATTTTGGGGGTTATGGTACCAACAGTTAAGGAATTAGGGGCCAAAAAGGGGCCAAAAATAAGCATTTTTGTAACTTCCAGACAATAACTTGTGTGTAATTAATATAAGTGTATAGATCTCTCTGACATTGTACCACAAGGTTCCATATCACAAAGGGAAGGCTGTAATTGATTTTGGGGGTAATTGCCTCTAAATTTTAGGAATTAGGGGCCAAAAAAGGGGCAAAAAACAAGCATTTTTCTAGTTTCATGACAATAACTTGTGTGTAAGTGTTTGGATATTTCTGAAATTGTACTACAAGGTTCCATATCACAAAGGGAAAGCTGGAATTGAGTTTGGGGGGAATTGCCCGAAACGTTTAGGAATTGGGGGCCAAAAAGGGGCCAAAAATAAGCATTTTTCTAGTTTCCAGACAATAACTTGTGTTCAAGTGTATGGATCTCTCTGAAATTGTACTGCAAGGTACCATACCACAAAGGGAAGGCTGGGATTGAGTTTGGGGGTGATGAATCATAAGGGGGTTCAAAAAATTTGGGGGGGGGGGGATTTTTTTTTTTTCTTTTTTTATCTTTTTTTCATTTTTTTTTTTCTTTTAAAATTTTCCAATTTAGGTTGGTTATTTCTGATTTATATTTAAAAGCAAAGAATAATGATATGGTAGGAGATACACACCAAACAGGATGTGTAAATTATTATATAATAAGTATTGTGCAATAGCAAGAAATTTTCAATTGCACAGTATTGCACAATAGCAAGAAATCTTCAATTGCACAGTATTGCGCAATAGCAAGAAATCTTCAATTGCACAGTATTGCGCAATAGCAAGAAATATCCAATAGCACAATATTGCGCAATAGCAAGAAATTGTCAATTGTACAGTATTGCGCAATAGCAAGAAATATTCAATTGCACAGTATTGTGCAAAAGAAGATACTTCGTATAAATTGCTTATTTCTTGATCAATTTCAATGGGGTTTTATTCTTGAATTCTTGGGGTTCTTTAATATGCTGAATCTAACCGTGTATTAAGTTTTTGGATTTTGGGCCCCGTTTTTAAATTGGTCCACATTGAGGTCCAAAGGGTCCAAAATTTAACTTTGTTTGATTTCATCAAAAATTGAATTATTGGGGTTTTTGTCGAGCCTTCGACTTTTGTCGAAAAAGCGAGACATAGCGATCCTACATTCCGTCGGCGTCATCGTTGTCGTCGGCGGCGTCCACAAATATTCACTCTGTGGTTAAAGTTTTTGAAATTTTAATAACTTTCTTAAACTATCCTGGATTTCTACCAAACTTGGACAGAAGCTTGTTTATGATCATAAGATAATATTCAAAAGTAAATTTTGTAAAAAAAAAATTCCATTTTTTCCGTATTTTACTTATAAATGGACTTAGTTTTTCTGCCAGGAAACATTACATTCACTCTGTGGTTAAAGTTTTTGAAATTTTAATAACTTTCTTAAACTATCCTGGATTTCTACCAAACTTGGAAGAAGCTTGTTTATGATCATAAGATAGTATCCAGAAGTAAATTTTGTAAAAAAAAAATTCCCATTTTTTCCGTATTTTACTTATAAATGGGCTTAGTTTTTCTGCCAGTTAACATTACATTCACTCTGTGGTTAAAGTTTTTAAAATTTTAACAACTTTCTTAAACTATCCTGGATTTGTACCAAACTTGGACAGAAGTTTGTTTATGATTAAAAGCTAGTATCCAGAAGTAAATTTTGTAAAAAAAAAATTCCATTTTTTCCGTATTTTACTTATAAATGGACTTAGTTTTTCTGCCAGTTAACATTACATTCACTCTGGTTAAAGTTTTTAAAATTTTAACAACTTTCTTAAACTATCTTGGATTTGTACCAAACTTAGACAGAAGCTTGTTTATGATTAAAAGCTAGTATCTAGAAGGAAATTTTGTTCCATTTTTTCCGTATTTTACTTATAAATGGACTTAGTTTTTCTTCCAGTTAACATTACATACAGTCTGCAGTTTAAGTTTTTAAAACATTTATTAGATTCATAAACCATCCTGGATTTTTACCAAACTTGGACAGAAGCTACTTACAATCAAAAGATAGTATAGAGAGGAATATTTTTATTTATTTTTTTCCTCATTTTTGCTGAGCCTGTGATTAACAGCAAAAAGTAGGCGAGACACTGGGTTCCGCGGAACCCTTACGAATTTTTTGATATGCCGAATCTAACCGTGTATTTAGATTCTTAATTTTTGGTTCCGTATTCAAATTAGTCTACATAAAGGCCCAAAGGGTCCAAAATTAAACTTAGTTTGATTTTAACAAAAATTGAATTTTTAGGGTTCTTTGATATGCTGAATCAAAACATGTATTTAGATTTTTGATTATGGGCCCAGTTTTCAAGTTGGTCCAAATCGGGGTCCAAAATTAAACTTTGTTTGATTTCAACAAAAATTGATTATATGGGGTTCTTTGATATGCTAAATCTAACCATGTATTTAGATTTTTGATTTTTGGGCCCCGTTATCAACTTTGTCCACATTGAGATCAAAAGGGTCCAAAATTAAACTTTGTTTGATTTCATCAAAAATTGAATTCTTGGGGTTCTTTGCGATGCTGAATCTAACCATGTATTTAGATTTTGGATATTGGACCATAATAGGTGAATGTTCAATTTAAAAACTTTAAGTTCTTAGACTACATTCATTCTGTGTCAGAAACCTATGCTGTGTCAAATATTTAATCACAATCCAAATTCAGAGCTGTATCAAGCTTGAATGTTGTGTCCATACTTGCCCCAACTGTTCAGGGTTCGACCTCTGCGGTTGTATCAAGCTGCGCCCTGCGGAGCATTTTATTTCACTTCATTTTGATATAACCAACATGGTAGTACAAATGTTACATGGACAGTGATGGTACCACAACGTGAAAGGTTAATCATTCTATTATTTCTTACTTGCCACATCGCTATGAAAAATTCATTGGGAGAACACTGGAAATGTGACTTTGAAACTGACTGCAAAAGAATGTCTTGATTTTTTGTTATTAGTTGCTATCTCCATCATCTCATTGACCTAGAATGTATACATCACATATCCTTTTATTATTGTTTCATTATTACTCAAAAAATAAGAACACAAGTACAAACATATACACAGCTGCATATACATACATTTACATGTATTAGGTATTTTCTTTTGCAGAATAGAAATACTGTTTGTCAACAGAATGGAGTCCAGTCATCACAGAAGAAAACACTTGATTTACAGAAGAAAATAAGTAAGTGTTTTACACATTTGAAAATTTTTATGAATGTATAATGGTATGATGCTGTTACCCTTGTCATCTGTGTGCAGATATTGACAGTGTTTTTTTGTTCTTTACATGTAGGTTTTGCTCTATAGGAGCTGGAATCTGAGAACAGAGTGCATAATCTAATGAAAGGGGCACGCTTGTGCAGTCATCATTTTCATGACACATTTTTCTTTTACACTATTAAACATGTTACTTTTGTTGAAAAGTCTCATTTATATTTTTTCTTTAACTACCCGTAAACATAATTTTCTTTTCAAAGAAATATAAAGAGCATCATTGAATCATTTATTTAAAATAGTTTGGCCTTGAGCATCACTGAGAAGACAAACAAACATAAGATTTTTATGCCCCCGCCATACAGGAGGGGGCATTAAGTTTTACCCTTGTCCGTCCATACGTACGTATGTCCATTCATCCCAAAATTGGTTTCCGTTCTCTAACGAGTTTTCCTCAACCAAATGTTATGAAACTTATACACAATGCTAATTACCACAAAACACAGATCAAGTTTGAATTTTGGTGGCGTCACTTTAACCGTTCTAAGAGTTATGCCCCTTTATAAATGGAAAAATTGCAACATTTTTAGTTTCCGTTCTCTAACTTAAGTTTGCCTCAACCAAATGTTATGAAACTTATACACAATGCTCATTACTACAAAATACAGACATTATTGAATTTTGGTAGCGTCACTCTAACCGTTCTAGAGTTATGCCCCTTCATAAATGGAAAAATTGCAAAATTTTTAGTTTCCGTTCTCTAACTTAAGTTTGCCTCAACCAAATGTTATGAAACTTATACACAATGCTTATTACCACAAAATAAAGATCAAGTTTGAATTTTGGTGGGGTCTCTTCAACCATTCTCGCATACCTGCCAGCTTTCACGATTTAGGCGTGTACTACACGATTTTGACCTCTTGTCCCAATTGCACGATCGTGATCGTGAAAAAAGCTTTAATACACGATTTTATGAAAATCTACACGAAAAATTGATTGTTCCCGATTTTGAACTGTTCCCAAGGGATGACAATCCTGATCAGCCAATCAAAGTCTGTGTTTCTCATGATCAAGTTAATAAGCCTATCAAAATCGTTCTCTCTCATGATTATTTGGACATGCTAAAGTTTGAACTTGTTTGGATTCCTCTGTGTTTGTCAGAATTGTAAAATTGTGAATATGGCAGGTGAATCTTCATCTGCAAGAAGGTTCTTACACAGCTAAAGAAGAAAAGCATGGCTGATTGACAAAATTCAATGATGCAGTACTACCATAAACATAATAAATAGTAGTTTATTGACATTACCCTTTTAGGAATTAGGGACCAAAAAGGGGCAAAAAACAAGCATTTTTCTAGTTTCAGGACAATAACTTGTGTGTAAGTGTATGGATCTTTATGAAATTGTACTACAAGGTTCCATATCACTAAGGGAAAGCTTGGTTTGAGTTTGGGGGTAATTGCCCTTAACGTTTAGGAATTTGGGGCCAAAAAGGGGCCAAAAAACAAGCATTTTTCTAGTTTCAAGACAATAACTTGTGTTCAAGTGTATGGATCTCTCTGGGTGTCAATACGCAACAGCATAGTGTATTTCACAAAAGCAAAAAAAAAGGGGGGTCAATTTTTTTTTTTTTGGGGGGGGGTCAATTTTGCAACAGCATAGTGTATTGCACAAAAGCAAAAAATTGAATATGAATTCAAATCAAATAACCAATTTTAAGTTCTTTGACTACAGTTATTCGGTGTCAGAAACCTATTATGTGTCAAATATTTAATTACAATCCAAATTCAGACCTGTATCAAGTGCGAATATTGTTTCCATTTTTGCCCCAACTGTTCAGGGTTGGACCTCTGCGGTCATATCCAGCTGCGCTCAGCAAAGCATTTTATTTAACTGTGCCGGAGGGACACATATGTCCATATTTCAATTTATGCAAGCTTCTCAGAATTGCTGTATCTGTTTCAAATAAAAGGCTGAAGATTAAACAGTGTAATATTTTTCTTCAATGGGTCTCAAATGTAAGGGTCATTAGGACGTGACGTCATTGTTTGGCATGTGATGTCACAGACGTCGAGCTGTCGTATTTTCTGGCACAAGAAATGCAACTTTGAAAAACTACTGGCAGCAAGAGGGTTAAAAGGGGGAAAAATTAATTATATTTGGAACAACTTAAAGAGGGATCCACTTATCTTTAAAAATAATGAAGATATAGTCCATGAATATTACAAAATTTTTGGACATGTTTTGACCATATAATACCAGATAGATGTATAGTTCCTTGGGAAAAGTTTCATCAAATAATATAAATATGTGCCCTAACCCCTTTTGTACTAAGAAATGGTTTTTACAAAAAAATATTTTTTATCATTTGAAAAATAGCCCTAATAAAAGGGATAGTCATTACATTGAAGGATTACCCCTCATTTGAGGGGTTGTTTCCAACCTGATTAAATTACCAAATAATTGAAAGTACAATGTACTATGCTTTATTTTTCACAAGGACCGAATAAATGTCCTTCTTTGTGCATAATTTTAAATTGGGAAAAGTCAACAATCATTTAATATTCTTACACATTCACAAGAAAATGTATCCTGGTACATGTATTCTAGCTACATGTTCATTTCTTCTACTGATATAATTACTAGAATCATGCAGATAAAAAGAAGAAAAAGCCTTATAAGCTCATCATCAGTATACCATATAAAAAAAAAGATATTGCACTTTTTCTAGAGCACAAAATAGCACGCGCAAAAAACGCCACAAAGAATTGTAACCTTTGAAATTGTTGTCACACACTAAAACCCCCATGGGGATTTTCAAAAGTTGGCAGGTATGTTCTCGAGTTATGGCCCTTTATGAATGGAAAAGAATGCAAAATTTTTAGTTTCCGTTCTTTAACTTAAGTTGCCTCAACCAAATGTTATGAAACTTATACACAATGCTTTTTACCACAAAACACAGATCGAGTTGAATTTTGGTAGCGTCACTTCAATCATTATCGAGTTATGCCCCTTTATAAATTGAAAAATTGCAAAATTTTTAGTTTCCGTTCTGTAACTTAAGTTTGCCCCAACCAAACATTATGAAACCTATACACAATACTTATTACCTTAAAACTCAGATCAAGTACAAATTTGGGTAGTGCCACTTTTATTGTTCTTGAGTTATGTCCCTTTATAATGTTGTATGCAAGCAGGGGCATCATCTGTGTCCATGGGGACACATTCTCCATTTATTTATGTCTTAAATGCAGAATATAAATTCCTTATCCCATTATGTACAGTGTGGAATGTATATTTTTATGCCCCCGCCGTAGCGGTGGGGGCATTAAGTTTTACCCTTGTCCGTCTGTACGTACGTCCCAAAATTGGTTTCAGTTCTCTAACTTGAGTTTGCCTCAACCAAATGTTATGAAACTTATACACAATGCTTATTACCACAAAACACAGATCAAGTTTGAATTTTGGTGGCGTCACTTTAACTGTTCAAGAGTTATGCCCCTTTATAAATGGAAAAATTGCAAAATTTTTATGGAAAAATTGCAAAATTTTTATTTTCTTCTAAATATCAAGTAATTTTTAAAATTGGAGTTATCTTCCTTTGTCCATGATAATAGTTGAATCAACTACAATCAATGCTTTATACAATGCAATGTTTAATTTTGACTTCCACTGATAAAACACAGATCAAGTTGAATTTGGGTAGAGTCTCTTTAACCATTATTGAGTTATGCCCCTTTATAAATCGAAAGATTGCAAAATTTTTAGTTTCCATTCTGTAACTTAAGTTTGCCCCAAGCAAATATTATGAAACCTATACACAATATTCATTACCACAAAACTAAGATCAAGTACAAATTTTTTGTTTCCGTTTTCTAACTTTAGTTTGCCTCAACTAAATGTTATGAAACTTATACACAATGCTTATTACTACATAATACAGATTATGTACGAAATTAGGTGGCGACACTTTTACCATTCTTGAGTTATGTCCCTTTATAAACATTAAAATTGTTGAATTTATACACAACCGTACTAGAGTTATGCGTGTTTACAAATAGAAAAATTGCTGAATTTTTAGTTTCTGTTCTCTACTTAAGTTGCCTCAACCAAATGTTATGAGACTTACACACAATGCTTATTACCACAAAACTCAGATCAAGTTCAAATTTGGGTAGCGATCACTTTTACCGTTCTTCAGTTATGTCCCTTTATAACTATATGATATGCAAGCGGGGGCATCATCTGTGTCCACATGTGGACACTATCCACATTTATGTGTTATGCAGAGCTCTCCACTGTAGAATGGGTGAATTGAGTGATATTTTCACTATAGGATTCCTGATTTCACTTCAAGTCAAAATTTGTGTGTTCCTAACTTTTCTGTATGATTGCCTTATGTGGTCCTTTGATTAATATGAATTTTTTTTTCCCCTGCCTCAATTTTTAGTATATTTTCTGTGTTCTACTAGCTGTAACGATTAAAATGGTACCTTAGTTTTTAAAATTGGTTCAGTAATAAAGATTTTATGAAGGTTAGCAGTTGATGTCGAATCGCGACAAAAAGTGATTTAAAAAAAATGCTTGATCATAGTGAAAAACCTCATGTCTGTCTCATTTTTGGGGTAAATTTCTAAAACTTTTCCCTTTTTTCTGTTTAAAATCATAAAACTACCTTAGAAGAGGAAAAATTGTACAATTTGTAGGTATTTGAAAGCACTTATAGGTCAATTTTGCTGTAAATAGCATACCAAACCTTGGTTTAGAAACTCTCAAGCAGGGTATAAATTTCTAACAGTACTGGCATCATTAAATTTAATTAATGCCAAATTATAATATAAAATCCTGCTAAAAATGTTTATTTGACTTATTTGCATTCAAAAATATAAAGCGATACATTCTGAGGCTATCATATAAAGCGCAGTCTTTGGTTACAAGGGCGAAGCTAATAAAGGACAAATTTAAGACCGCAACATGTCTTAGTGTCAAAATGTGTATATTTGGTTGCTAAGGACAGTAAACAATAAAATTAACATGTATTGCAATCCTAGCAGATTTTTTCCCTTCAGAACTAAAATAAGAACCTAAAAGACTAAAGATTTGTGGTAAAATTTATCTTAAAAAGTGCATTTCTGTGCTTTCTGATGTGCCATAAGGTAGCACTCCACAGTTAGAAAATAAAATTAAAATTGAACCACAAAATGTTTTATCATCTTCTATTCCTGGCTTTCTAATACATTAACCGAACTGTTTGTGTTATACATGTGCATATGTATGTAATCAGTATCTTCCATAGATTTGATTTTCAAAAGTTAAAAGGGTGAAATATAATTCCTTTTTTGTGTATCCATGGCAACATTCTGCATTTATTTACCGTAAAATATTGCAAAAAGGGGGTGAAAATGTCAGATATCCCCCCAAAATTTGGATCAAACTAGAATTTCAATGCCTTTAAGTGATACCTTTTCAGAAACTGTTGACATTAATCTACCTAATGATCAAATAAAAAATGGGTGTCTTTCGCCTCATTTTTTCGTAAAATTTAATCACAAAGTTCATGCGACAAAAAGTTGGAAAAAAACATTACAATAATTGCCTGACCAATGTTTGGTATGGATATGCAAATACGGACTGTCATACAGAAAACAGCCTATATTACATACATTACATAATCTTGATGTTCATATAAACCCACTATGAAGGCTATTTTAATTTTCAGCTATCCAAAAATGAATTTTATTGCACACTAGCTCTCATATTTGAAAAATCCACAGGGGCCAAAATGCGAAACTACACACCTAACTGTGGAGTGCTACCTAAGACAATATTGTGGCCCTTATTAATGTTTAACACATTTATTGCATATACATATAAACATCCCATTCTCTTCCTTGTCATGTGACAAAGATTGTGTAATATCTGTACTCTCAGTTAAATTTTGATGGGAAGAGAAGGAAGACACCAAGGAAACATTCAAAACTCATAAGTCAAAGAAAAACTGACAACTCCATGGCAAAAATAGAAAAGAGGAACAAGTCCACAAAACATTACGTAGAAAACTAGAGATTGAGCAACATGAACCCCACAAAAAAAGTGACGTATTAGAAGTTTTGATATAGAATCTATTTGTTACCACTTACCAGTCTACCATGGTGTTGTCAGTTTTTCTTTTGAATGTTTCCTTGGTGTCTTCCCTCTCTTTTTAACAAAATTTTATGAATTTTATTCACTATTGACTTGCTATTTTTGTCCATCAGTTAATTCCTTCGTGCATCTATTGTAATCTATCTTTGAATACCAGATTCCATTCATAGACAGTCTGCCTCTAATCCATAGCTTTTTAGTGCAAATACTGGCCAATAAAATTTAACTGAGCATACAGATATTACACAATCTTTGACACATGACAAGGAATAGAATGGGATGCTAATCTACCACATGGTTCAGGGTCAATGAACAAGGAAATGATTCAAACAGTAAAATCATAAAAAAAGTTTTTTTTGTTAAATTTTTTTTGACAACTATGTCAAACAGACTGTGTCGCTTACTTAGAGGCCAACCAGAACTGCACCATAGGAGAAGGATTGGTCTATTGTTTTAGGAGTTTTAATTCTCTGTTTCTACAATTTAAAAAAGTTATGAGGAAATGCCTGTCAATGTCTGGAGAGTTTCTGCTTATGTATTAAATTAATAAAAGAAAATGTAGATATTTTTGATATTGCCAGAACTGTTGATGAAAGTTATATGTAGCAGGTAAGATATTATGATAACTCCTTACATTTCTTACTTGCTTCATTGCAGATAAACATAAGGAAAAGGCAGCAAGTAAAAACAGAGTTGTGAATCAACAGCCAAAAAAATATCTGCTTTCCAGAAACAGGTACCCTCAAACATACACAGTTAAATTTCATTATGGTTAACATTAATGGACCATCTATTCAAGATTTTTGATAATCATATTCAGAAATAAAAGTTTGTAGGCTTATATTTGGCACAGGCATATTATAAATTTATATTTACAGTGAAAAATTTATTTATCTTTAAGAGAGGGTGGTAAAGGTTATTTTCGTGCAACGTGTTTTGCCATTTTTATTTCACGTGCAACAGTGAAAAAGGTTCGTTATTCAACCTGTTTCGTGAAATCTGTAAAAAGATCAACGTGCAAGACATTTTTAATTGTTCGTTCATCGTGAAAAGGCAATGTTATTTCGCGTTCTTCCGTGCAGATAACCCCCCTTTACGCCCCTCTTAAGAATTTTAATCTGTTTTTTTACTTAGGGGGACAATAAATTCTAAATTACATTGAAAATAAGTGCCAAATTAAATTTTTGAACAAATTAAATAATTCAGTTCATTAATTGAATTAAGTGAAATTGATGCCAATTAAATTATTTTACCAATAAGTCCTAATTCAAAATTATAATGAAATGATAATGCATAAAAACATTAATACCAGAACTAATAAAAAAAACTTGACACTGGGCTTCTGGTGAAAAAAATACAAAAATAGTAGCTTATAGTCTTTATCCAAATTTGGCTAACTATGTTCAGCTTATAAAAGCAATTTCCTCTTTACACTGTTTGGGTCACTGTATCTTTACCTCTATCAGCATCAGTTAATCAGATATTGGTAATCAATCTTTACACATTATAATAGTGTAAATGTATAACAAATTTTAACAGTTATATTTTGGTAAATTGTTTCCAATAATTCATTGACTTTTTTCACAAAAAATCTTACGATTAAAATTGATCATAAGTTATACTGAAATGTGTGTGACTTACGAGTATTTTTACTCTTAAGATTTTTTGTGAAAAGAGCCACTGGATGTCAATTTTGTCCATTGTGCATGCTCTTCAATTTTGATCCCCATACCACTACATACATGTATGTATGGAAAATAGTTTTACCTTTGTTTGTTCTCCTGTTTAATCCATCCTTTTATCATTCCATTCTTTCAAACAAGTGTAGACTTATTTACAAGTCTTCTATACACTTGTATTGAACTGATTTTGTTTGTGTAGATCTACCATTTTTTGGGTACATTGATGAGTTGTGTACATTTTGTTCTAGTTGCTTTTACTTTTGATGGAGTTATAGTCTATGGACTTCAAAAATTATATAAGAATTGTACTTGTCTTGACAATTTAAGCTATGTATGCAGAACTTATTTTTTTTTATGTTTTGCAGATTAAGTGTACCCAGTAAACAAGACTTACTTGCCAATGAACATGACAATCAGCCTCTTGTAGCAATCATGTCAGATGATAGGTAAGGTTAATATACCAATAACTCAAATATATTTTGTTTTATGGCTTGGTTAAATTTATTCCAAGGATGCTGATTTTGAATAAATGTACAATTTGGTCATGTCCATTTTTGTGGTACAGTGGTCTTAGTTGTTCATCTGCAGGGATCTTTAGCTTTTTAAACACTGAGGTTTTGAGTTTGAAACTCTACTTGAGTCAAGGTGCTTTCGACTGTATCTTAATTAACTAGAAATGTCAGTTTTTCTACCATAAGTCATTGGTTCTCTCCAGGTACTCCAGTTTTCACTAATAAAAATTGCCAAACCAAATGATATAGCCAAGAATGTCCTTGTGAAAGTTCCTCCATGGTTTAATTTTCATCCATGGAGATCCCTGTACTCTCATTATCAAAACTGATTTAATAACATGCGTTTGTATTACAAAAGAATAATAACATGCTTGCTCCAAAGGAGGGGGAGATATACTGGTTTATCGAATTCTTACCTGATTGATACATTTTCTGACTGGTTGATATTATTTTTAACTGGGTTTTCTGAAGGAAAAAAAAACGTTATTAATTTAATGAAGTATGGCGTGCAGGCTGCGGATGGGCAGGCAGCCTGACAATTGTTTCCGTGCAATAACTTATAAACTGTTCACTCAATACTTTTCAAATTTTAATATGTTGATACTATTGACATATGGAGGTCAAGTTTGATATTGATGATTTTCACTTTTACTGTTCAGGAGTTGTGGTCCTTGATAAATTTTATATTGGCTTGTTTTTCAGTGAAGATGATGATTTTGAATCTCCAATGTTTTCCAAAGCTGCAACTAAAGAAATAGCTCAACAATTGATTAAAGATGGCTACAATTTAGATCTGGAACCTGATGATGAAGATCTTGATTTAATACCCCCACGACCGTTAAATGAACGTTGTATTTGTTGTCCTAATTACCAAGGATCATGTGTTATGCAATGATATTACAGCTTTTGTTATAGAATGAAATTAAAATCTTATAGGTTATTTGTCTGTAAACAGTAGAATTTCCAGTCTATTGTAGTGACTGAATGTAAAGATTGGAGATTTAAACACTTTCAAAAACATAAAATTTACTTAGTTTATCTTCAGTAATGTAAAACTGAACATTGTAGTTAAATAATATTTACAAAAATTTGACAGCATTGTAAAATGACCAGCAATTTTTTTTTTTTTGCTTGCAGCTTGAATTGAGTTTTTAACGCATTAGCTAGCTTTATTTAAAACTTTGTCATTAAAAAATCTTTTTTTTTATATTAGTACGTTTTTTTAAAGGAAAGTTAAGTGTTATACTGCACTTGTACAATGCTTTATAATATCGCACTCTTACTTACATTTGATTTAATTCTACACACAGTTATAATACATTATAATACTCAGTATAAATTGTCTGAGTGATAATATAAGATCTTCCATTATTTTTTTGCTCATGTAACATCCTTGAGGTGTTTCTGCTAGCATTTAGTTTTGCATTGTTATATTTGCAAATTTGCATGTTTAGGATGAAAAGTTGTTCTGTTATTGATATTTTTCACGCATAATCAATATTTTTATTTTATTTTATATATGTTTTGCTTACATTCCATTAGATGCTGTATTTTATTTGTATATTATTAAGGTCCCCCCTAAAAAGTACCAATGTTAAAACTATTGTTCATTGACTAAAATTATAAGATTTTATTGTATGGTTGAAAATCTGTAATATTGTGTATTTTTTGTATATGTGTATTAGATGATCTGAATGTGTATGTGGGAATATGGCAAAGTTAGAAGGTTTTTGTTAGTACTTTTTCATTAAAAAACATACATGGTACCCAGGGAAGTCCCCTTGAACACTTGGTAGCTATGTATAGAGGCAATTTTATAATTTCACTTTCTAAAAGGTTATTGCCACCCACCCATAGATGAGGTTTCCAAATGTCCCCTCCCTTTGTCCCACGTCTGTTTTTATGGAACAGCCCTGAGAGAATGTTGCTTATAGAAGTGATCATTAATACATCAAAGATAGAAAAATAATAGAAAATTTAAAAAATGTAAAAAATAAATCCGTAGTGTTTCACAGTTTTCAGTGTAACAAAACATTATAAAGCTTATACTCTTATTCTTAAGCTAGTTTGAAGATAACATCATTATCCATATGAGCAAAGGTATCAGCCAAACAATCTAGTATCAAGGAAGACTTGGGCTTAGCCTGAGATGGGTTGAGGCTCGATACCTCTGACAATATGAAAACCCCCATGTTATGATGCTTGTATAATATATTTTTACATCAATTATTACTACAAAACAAAAACTTATTTCTCACTCTTGTTTTGTTTTCTTACACATTTTTTAACAAACAAAATGACTATCCGGACTTCCAACTAAGATAATGTCTCTTATAACTTGACATCATGTTTTGACAGTAATACTGACATGGAAAACATTCCTTTAAATAGTATTGGAACCAGTTTTTATCTTGATTAAGACATGATAATGAAATTATTAAAGTCTGATATAGATATTTTTTGGTATTCTGTATGAAGGTTATATTTAATGTCCCCATTATCAGCACACTGGTCTTAGAAAGCATTGTTTTGTACATGAAGTATCATTTAAATATTTGATAAATTCTTATCAAATCTTATTTATAAAGAAAATAGTGACAAGAAAAGATTTTAGTTATTATATTTCAATTACATTTCTAGTTTTTGTTAACATCTGAATGTTTAAGATAATCAAGGGACAATTTTTCTAAGTTTTCAAATTTTTTATTTTTTTTCCAAAGTGAAAAAACCTTATAGTCCATGTTTTGTTTTATAATGAAGATACAATGTTAAATATTTAATGGCAATTTGATCATTAGAAATCCTAGAAATATACATGTAGTTTTATATACATTTCTGAAATCCAGTCTTTCTGAAGTATATATATTAAGACAGTTCTTTTTCTTATATATTATTTATATTTATATTATTCTGTTTCATTTTGTTTAAAGTTATATTGTTTGTTGATATTATATAAAGAATTAAGTGTTCTGTTACATACAGGTGATTATATATTTTGTGGTCTTATGGCAATGTTTTTATGAGTAGAATTTTTGTTGTTGAGAATAACGACTTGTTACAAGGGCTACAATATGATACATATGGTGAAATCCAGAACATTTTGTTTTATCAAAAGGTTGATATCTCTTAAATAATAAAAGTTTGTTACATTCTTATAGATATTTAACTGAAATATACTAACTAAATTTAATTGAGGCTTTTTCAAAAGTTTTTTTCAAGCAATCCAAAGTTTACTGAAGTTACATAAATTTTGCACATTTATTTACAATTTGTTTTTAATAAGTGGTCACATGGTCTGGTATGTTATATGAGTCTTGAATGGATTTACAAGTATTGATGAAAATTATATTAGCAATTCAGGTGTTATGTCTCTTCTCTTCAGTCAATAGGTTAAAAAAAACCAATAATAATCAATGTTAAAAGGTGCTTTCTGTAGCTACAAGTAGAAATCAAAAGTGTATATAGCAATGTCTAGTATTTACAGCATTTGAGTTTGACCATTAGAATTAGAATTAAGATTTAAAAGTAGATATTAAATTTCATGTCAAAAATTATTTCTATACAGTTCACTCGATAATTTTATACAATGATGATACTCTTGTATCTTTAATCAGCTGCATTGGTAAAATCCAATTGTTACATATCTTGGTATTTAAGGTTACAGTAGAAATTCTTTCAAGACATAAAGGATAGATATGTTATAATATTGAAGGTTATCTATCTTTGTTCACTGAGTAAAATAATGTTCACATTTTGAACAATCTTTTTCATGTATTTAGATTAAAGCTATATTCATAGATGGATTTAATACAATACAATTTTAAACTAAGTAGTACAAATATAGACATTGTTGACTCAAATGTAATTAATGCTAAGAAGGAACATACAAAATACTATAAGATTGTGATTGTATGCGGAGTCTACCACAGATGATGTATTATTGACATTGTATATGTAAGCCTTGACAATGATATACTAAAATTAGAGATGAAAACATGCAATATATATAAATTTTTGCAATGGTTTTTAGGGTCATTTGTGCAATTATATATTTTAGTTGTAAAAGTTCATACTTTTGTTCATTATTTTATTTCATGGTTTTTAATAGAAATGTATCAGTTCATGAATGATATTACTTTTTTGATAATTTTTTATGAATAGGGTAATAAAATCAGTTAAATGGCTAATGGAAGCTTCTTTTTGTTATACGACCGCAAAAATTTTTTTGGGATCGTATAATGGTATGATGTCGTCCTCGTCTTCGTCGTCGTCCGAAGACACATTGGTTTACGGACAATAACTTTAGTTTAAGTGAATGGATTAAGGGTTATGGGGCCAACAGTTTAGGAATTAAGGGCCAAAAAGGGGCCAAAAACAAGCATTTTTCTAGTTTCCAGACTATAACTTGTGTGTAAGTGTATGGATCTCCCTGACATTGTACCACAAGGTTCCATATAACAAAGGGAAGGCTGTGATTGAGTTTGGGGTTAATTGCCCCAAAAATGTAGGAATTAGGGGCCAAAAAAGGGCCAAAAACAAGCATTTTTCTAGTTTCCAGACAATAACTTGTGTTTAAGTGTATGGATCTCTCTGAAATTGTGGTACAATGTTCCATACTACGAAAGGAAAGGCTGGGATTGAGTTTTTGGGTTATTGCTCCAAGGGGGGTTTCAAAAAATTGGGGGGGGGGGGGGATTTTTTTCCCAATTTTTTTAAGGATTTCATATTTTTTTTTCAAAATTTTTCAAATTTCAAATTTTTAAAAAGTTTCAAGAAGAAATCTTCAATCGACAGTATTGCGCAATATATTTGTAAGATCTTTGACCACATTTATTTTGTGTCAGAAACCTATATTATGTCAAAAATTTGATCACAATCCAAATTCAGACAGTATTTAGCTTGAATTTTGTGTCCAAATTTCCCCAAACTGTTCAGGGTTCGACCTCTGCAGTCGTATCAGGCTGCGCTCAGCGAAGCATTTTATTTTCCATATATTTGTGATCATATTGTTTAACATAATTATAATGCTCTTGTTATTGGTACAAACCAACTTCTCTATCAAGAAAATGGTATGCACTTGAATATTTTTATCAATAATAGTTGTTATTTTCATTTATCAGCAGTTTAAAAAGGACTTAACATTTAACAAATCATTATTCCCACATTTCCAGCATAACTGAATGATATCTTAGATTGTAAAATATTTGTACAAACTATTGCCATTGGATACTGCACACAAGTGAAATTTATAGTTGCCATAGAAATATCTTTGACCAATAGTCTGACTTGCACACAATTTCCTTCTAGTCTCATAATTAAACATTTTCTTACCAGCAATATTTGAAAAAGAAATTTAAAACTAATGTCATCCAAATATTGATAATTATTTATCAAACATGTGATTTGTGCATATAACTATAAAGGTAAAATGGGTGTTATTATTTGGTTTTCACAAAGGAAAATGTGACTTGTGCATATAATTATGGTGAAATGGGTGCTAAAATTTACGATTTTCATGTAACATTTATTTTTTTTATATATCATTAGATCTCATTTGACTCTTTAAGTTGTATTAGTTTGATCTGACATTCCTCTGCAGTTTCTCCATTATCATGTGATTATGTTTTAAATTTTATACATGCTTTTCATACAAATATAATTATTCATTAAATGCAATATAGTATCTTGTTATATGTTATTGCATATGAAGATTTGTGATGAATACATGCTATGTTCAGATGTTGAATACTTCCAAAATTGGTGATAATTGATAGTTATGTCTACTCCACATACATATTGAGGGAGACATGATATTGTTTTTGTCCTTTCTGTCACACACATACAATCTAGCCATTATATTGAGGGAGTCATGATATTGTTTTTGTCCTTTCTGTCACACACATACAGTCTAGCCATTATATTGAGGGAGACATGATATTGTTTTTGTCCTTTCTGTCACACACAAACAATCTAGCCATTATATTGAGGGAGACATGATATTGTTTTTGTCCTTTCTGTCACACACATACAATCTAGCCATTATATTGAGGGAGACATGATATTGTTTTTGTCCTTTCTGTCACACACATACAATCTAGCCATTATATTGAGGGAGACATGCTATTGTTTTTGTCCTTTCTGTCCCACACATACAGTCTAGCCATTTTAGTCTCTCTGTGCATCACCATATATTGAGGGAGACATGATATTGTTTTTGTCCTTTCTGTCACACACATAGTATAGCTATTCTAGTCTCTCTGTGCTAAACAAAAGTTTTTCTGATGCTCATTCTCCTACACAACTCAAACTTGACAGAATTGCCTAATACATTATATAATGTGGATTCATTTATCTCTTTGATTGAGAAGACTGTAATTTCGTTGATATTTGATTTGCTAAAGTATGCATAGAAGCCTATAGAAAAATTAATCTTTATTGCACATTAAAATTTGTGGTTAACCTATAGCCATGACAGGGGCCTAGGTGGCGGAGTGGTCTAAGTAGTCAAACTACTTTGTCACTAGCCAGGCAACACTGAGGTTGTGAGTTTGAATCCCGCACGAGGCAGGTGCACTCAACTCCAATCTTAATTGACTAGGATTGTCAGTTTTCCTACCGAAGGTCGGTGGTTCTATCCGGGCACTCCGGCTTCCTCCACCAATAAAAACTAACCACCATGAAATAGCACAATAGTGTTGAAAGTGGCGTTAAACACCAATCAATCAATATACCCACGACATCCAATTGTGGGTACCAATTTTCATGTTTTGAGGAAAAATTGTTTCATCACAAATACTTGATTTTTTTTTCTCCAAAATCTGCATAAAAGGCTACAGAAAAATAGAAGAATGGAGTAGAACATTTAAATTTGTGGTTCACATACACCCATGAAAATTAGTATCCCAAGAATAATAACAACAAACATTGGTATCCCATGAATAATTACAACAAAAATTGGTATCCCATGAATGATAACAACACAAATTGGTATCCCACGAATAATTTCAACAAAAATTGGTATCCCACAAATAATTACAACAAAAATTGGTATCCCAAGAAAAATAACAACAAAAATTGGTATCCCACGAATAATTACAACAAAAATTGGTATCCCACGAATAATAACAACAAAAATTGGTATCCCACGAATAATAACAAAAATTAGTATCCCACGAATGATAACAAATCCACAGTATTTGTGAAACGTTCCATTTTTTTATCAGATTGATTTATAGAGGTTTCACACAATAAAAATGGTCGTTTCTACATATTGAAAAAAGGCTATTAGTACAAATTTTCCTAACAATGAATTTTGTAGTGGAATGACACATGACAGGATCTCTTTATATCAAATGTAGTTTTGTAGTTTTTTTTTTATCGGATTGCATTTCATATCAAAATCTGGACCAACATTTCTCAATATCGGGCAGTTTGTAGACACAATTTTTTTTACAATTTACACTATAATGATAGTAATGAAAGATATGCTTCAGAACATAAGAAGTTACGTGCATACAAGATTTCCAGAGCTACTGTCCTTGGTAACTTAGATAAGAATAAACTGGGTAGATACATGTTAGCATCAAATACAAATTCTTAACTTTTGTCTCTCCTGCGACTAAAGTGGCAGAATGCGAGAGATAAGGATTACAATCCAGAGGCGGAGTTAACTATTTGTATAAAGTTTTATATTTCATAAGTAGAAGTCCTGGATGTTTTATACCTTGGAGATACCTTGTGTTACAAAGTTTCCTTCTGTCATTTCTCCATTGTGCTGGACCTCATTTTCATGGTTCAGTGACTACTTGAAAAAAAAATAGCTGTTTTGTTTTGTCATGTGAAATACTCACTATGAGTAAAAGGATAACTTTAATTAGTATATGGGATCCTTGCAAGGTCTACACGTTTGTCAGACAGGGTTCACCTGACCTTGACCTCATTTCAGGGATCAGTGATCAAGGTTAAGTTTTTGTGGTCATATTCATATATTACTGTGTGCGGATTCCTTATTCTTTATTGGATACCAATTTTCGTGGAATTTGTGCGAATTTAAATGTTCAAGAAATTACAAATTTTGTATAGGCTTTGGTGGATAGTTGTCTCATTGGCAATCATACCACATCTCCTTATTTTTATATTGTAAGCAGTCTTTGGCAAAACCATAAATTAAATATCCACGAAAATGGTAGTTTCCTCAATCCTTGAAAATTGGTATCCACGAAAAAGTGAATCCACATTATAAGCAATAGGTCAACTATATTAATGTAATGATTGTAAGGTTTACATGACTGACTGGCAGGTTTCATCCAAACTTGACCTTTTTTTCATGGTTCATTGGACAATGTTTACTTTTGTGGTTTAGTCTATATCTTAGATACTTTAAGCAATAGGTTCACTATATTTGATGTATGGAATGATTGTAAGGTGTTTATGTCTGTCTGACAGTTTCATATGACCGTGACCTCATTTTCATGGTTCATTGGTCAGTGTTGTTTTCATGGCTTTGTCAGTTTATCAGATATTATAAGCAATAGGTCAACTATATTTGGTGTATGTAATGATTGTTAGATGTACATGTCAGTCTGGCAGGGTTCAAATGACCTTGACCTCATTTGCATAGTTCATTAATAAGTGTTAAGTTTTATGACCTCATTTTATGGTACATTGGTCAATGTTCAATTTACTTAATTAGGTCTGTTTCTCAGATACTAATAAGCACTAGGCTAACTATATTTGGTGTATGGTATGGTGTAATTGTAAGGTGTACATGTCTGTCTGGCAGGGTTCATTTGATATTTACCTCATTTTCATGGACCATTGATGCTTCTAGTTAAACCTTCACATTAAAGACTTTCAACATTAATTTTATCATGATGAGTATAGCAGGTGAGACATTTCAGTGCACTCTTGTGTAACATGATGAATGCCTTCTCAATATCATCTTTGACCAACTGACAAAATTGAGGAGGAGATCCCTGAAACAAGTATTTCAAATGCGGATTTAATTGTATTAAGTTGATGAGATGAGGGATGTCAAGAGGTCTAAAACTTAATATTAGATAAGACTGGA